ACTAGCCTCGAAAGGGGGGATTGTGTTAAATGTGCAGTCAGCCTAAGCCGTCATGTGAATCTAAGTACATACAAGTATATCATTTCTAAATGATTCATCTGCCTAAATAGTTCATCTAACATTATGAAACAAGTTAAAGTCGGAAAAAAACCAAAACTGGCTTAGCACCAATAAAGAAACACTTACAAAAAACATCAAAACTAACTCGGTTTATATTTCAGCAAAATGCGCATAGCAGTCCCAGTAAAAATACCCATTCATAGAGGATTTCTTACTCAATCAATCATATAACTCCGTACACTCGTCGAGTTCAAGTCAGACAAAAACCTTACAACTTTGATAAGCAACTTGGCCTTGCTGGCTCAAAGAGACACAACCCCACATCAACGGACCCTAATGAACACCCGTATTAGCACCAAAAAAAAACACCAAAGCTAAGAAGCTGAAAATACAACACAAGAGCTGTACCACTACTATGTTGACCGGCTCCCTTAAAATTTTGAAACTCAAAAATGCTCGCTTTAAACTATTCTTATACATACATACTACATCTTTGAACATGATAAAGGTCTCTCTTTAACTTCTACGGTCGGTTCCATTCCAAAACTGGACTTATGTATTCCTCAACTTTTCAGTCCTGAATCAACTGTGAATAATGCAACAAATAAGACGATTCGATCAGCGTTTTGACAACAAGCTGCCAGAGTCTCTCTTCTTTCCCACACCTACTCCAGATCCAGTATATTCCGATTGGCATATTGCTCAACTTAAAAGTAATCAGCTAATCAGACTTTTAAGTTACACATCTCTGTAACAGCGATGTTGACATCATACAACATTTTGAACTTCCTATCTTTGTAATAATTATTTTTAATATGTTAAGGGAGTGTGTTATTTAATTGCAACCACACTTAACTTTATAGTTTCTTACGTCTGCGGCTGAGTTTGATCTCTGCTGAATCGGGACTGGATAAATACTCATCTTGCCCAATTTTTCATTACGTGTGTTGCCTTATGTCTCTTGGTTCATAAGGTTCATTCCATATACTTGTATATCTGTACGTTATTCAGCTACTATGTAGTATATAAGGTAAATATTTATATATACATACATTCCACCAACATCTATATTAAACAAGAGAGAACGCTACAGTCGATCAAGCCCGACAGTGTAATACCCTGTACCCAGGTAAACTTCCGTCACTGAGTTATATGCGCCCAAAGCAGCAGCAAAAAGAGGAAGAAGAAGAGCGAACTTGTTGCTGCAGTTTGTGGGGGTTGTACTGGCGAGAAATTGTTTCGCTAATAACTTTTCTTAGAATCGACCGAATTGAATAAAATTTGAACAACAGTAGACAATTATATATAAATTATGTGTGCAAAGTTTGGTTTAGGTAGCATTTGAAATGTGGACGCTATTGACAAAATTTTGTAGCGGGGGAAGGGGCGGGAAATTAAAAAAAATAAAATAAACTCGTCCTTTCTCGGACCTAGGAGAATCTTGATGCCAACTTTGGTTATTCTAGCTTTTATAGTTTCTGAGATCCTTGCGTTCATCCAGACGGACGGACGGACGGACGGACGGAAGGACAGACGGACGGACGGACATGTCTAGATCGATTTCGTCATGCTGATTCAGAATATATATACTTTATGGGGTCGGCGATACTTCCTTCTGCATGTTACATACTTTGCACAAACCTAATATACCCTTTTTACCCTACGGGTACAGGGTATAAAAATATTTTCTAACTATTTTCCATTCCGAGCTTACATTACCACAAAGAATTTTATAGCACTCTGCACTCATTAAATTAGCTATAAGATTGGAAGCACCTTGCAGCACAACTCAGTGCCACTAATCAATACGGGACCTGCTCATAAAAACGTCGTATATTTGCGGCAAACGTTTGAACTTCACGTTGCTGATCGACGTTGGTGTCATACATCAATACTAGTCATCCGTCAAATGTCTACGATATCATCGCTGTTGCAAATAACAAACTGAGAGGCCATCAGAAACATGCATACATACATACATAAGTATGTACGTACATATAAGAATGTATGTATCTACATATGTATAAGAATTGTGATTTTGTACGTAACAGCGACAGCTCTCAGTGTTACTTTGGATACTGAATTAGTGGCATTTTTATTAACCACATTGCATCCATCCACATCTATACTTTATTCAACTGTCCAACGACATATGCCTATACCCTACCTACATCATACCTCTCTTTAACTTTATGTGTGCATATGTAAAAACATATGTACATACACATGTAAGTACTATTTATTTGTATACATAATATATTCCCTAATTTTTATACCCTGTACCCAAAGGGTACAAGGGTATATTAGTTTTGTGCGAGTGCACATGGAACACACAGAAGGAGGCTTGGTAGACCCCACAAAGTATATATATTCTTGATCAGCATGACAAGCCGAGTCGATATAGCCATGTCCGTCTGTCCGTCTGTCTGTCTGTCCGTCTGTCTGTCCGTCTGTCTGTCTGTATGAACGCAAGGATCTCCGAAAGTATAAGAGCTAGAATAACCAAACTTGGTATACAGATTCTTCTGAGACCGAGAAAGGACGAGTTTGTTCATTTTTTCTGATCCACCCCCCCACTCCCCCCCTATTAACGATTTTCTATAACTCCCGTAATTCTTGGAATTTTGAACTAAAATTTGGTAGTCACATTAGGTTAGTAATTATATATCCGTATACCAAGTTTCATTATGATAGAATGATCGGAAAGAAAGTTATAGCCATATAACCAGGCCCAATGCACACATACATACATATGTACAAGTACACAAACACGCATAAGGCACAATTCTGATGTAAATGTAAATGTATGTATGCATGCATGGAATATTTTATATTTAATTAGTTAATATTTAGTTAATTAATTCAATTAATTTAGTTAATTAATTTAATTTAATTAATTAATTAATTAAATTACTTTTTTGTGGGGTGGTACAGGGTATTTAAGAGTTGAGCCTGCTCGACTTTAGCATTCCTTTCTTGTTGTATCTAACAAAATAATTTCCTACTGGATAGTTACTGGAAATGATCACAATGTGGGAATAAGAACAAGATAGAACGCTACAGTCGAGCAAGCCCCACAGTAAAATAGCCTGTACTCTCCACAAAAAGGAAAAATTAAAAAAAAAAAAATTTTTTAAATTAAATTATTAAAAACAAGAGAGAACGCTACAGTCGAGCAAGCCCGACAGTGTAATACCCTGTACCCAGGTAAACTTGCGTCACTGAGTTATATGCGCCCATAGCAGCAACAAAAAGAGGAAGAAGAAGAGCGAACTTGTTGCTGCAGTTTGGGGGGGTTGTACTGGCGAGAATTTGTTTTGCTAATAACTTTTCTTAAAATTGACCGAATTAAATAAAATTTGGAACAACAATAGACAATTATATATAAATTATGTGTGCAAAGTTTGGTTTAGGTAGCATTTGAAATGTGGACGCTATTGACGAAATTCTGTAGCGGGGGAAGGGGGGGAAAATTAAAAAAAATAAAATAAACTCGTCCTTACTCGGACCTAGGAGAATCTGGATGCCAACTTTGGTTATTCCAGCTTTTATAGTTTCTGAGATCCTTGCGTTCATCCAGACGGACGGACAGACGGACAGACGGACGGACAGACGGACAGACGGACGGACATGTCTAGATCGATTTCTCTCGTCATGCTGATCAAGAATATATATACTTTATGGGGTCGGAGATGCTTCCTTCTGTATGTTACATACTTTGCACAAACCTAATATACCCTTTTTACCCTACGGGTACAGGGTATAAAAATGAATGAATTAATTAATTAAAATAATTAATTAAATGAAATTAGAATACATGTTTATGTTCAGTTTAAACAGCATACATTTACATCACGTACCTATGCGTGTTTATATGCGTGTATGTATGCAGCACAAAGTTGAACAAAAGCAGCAACAACAACAACAGCTGCGGGCAGCGCTGCCGACAGAGCTGCAGGCAGCGCATGAGCAGCGATTTTACTTATGGCTATAACTTTCTTCAGAATTGACCTATCATGATGAAATTTGGTGACGAACACATTAGTACTAACTAACTGTACCTACCAAAATTGATTTCAAAATTCCGAGAATTACGGAAGTTATAAGAAAAAATACGAATTGCGGGGGAGTGGGGGGGTGTATGAGAAAAAATAAACAAACTCGATCTGCCTAGGGCTTATAGAAACCTTGATACCAATTTTGGTTATCCTAGCTCTTGTACTTACTGAGATCCTTGCGCTCATACAGACAGACGGACAGACAGACGGAAATGGCTATATCGACTCGTCTTCTCATCCTGATCAAGAATATATATACTTTGTGGGGTCTGCCACGCCTCTTTCTGTGTGTTACATACATGCGCACAAAACTAGTATAGCCTTTCACCCTTTGGGTACAGGCTATAAAAATGACTATAAACACACTTAAATATATAAAGTTCAAAAGTACAATAGTCATAATGATGTTCAAAACATTGAAAAAAACAGCTCATATGCATACATATATGAAATATGCGGAAAGTATAAATATTTATAAAAAAAATACTTAGTTTACGGCACAAAAATAGTTTAAATATGGGAAGCTTATAAAATATCTTTAAGATACACAATTGCAGCGCATGAAGGGCATGAATATCGTAAATCACAGTGTAGCTCTCTTTGTCTTGCGCTCACCAAATATGCTAACGACATATAACAACTCGTTGCGGTTGATAAAGAAACGGGTATCTGGCGAAAACGAGCGTAGAAAAAAGCCGAAAAAAGAGCGTAAATATGAGAATAAACAACAACACAAGTGCTCGATCACAATGATGGAGCAAAACAGACGCCGAAATACATACATATATATCCATATATTTGTTTGTAAACAGTAAGTATTTAATTCGAACTGCCCTTGCTGCCGGCTCAGTAATTCGCTGAGCGCGAGCGAGAACAGTTATCAGAGCCGCCACCCACGCGGTCAGAATAAATACAAATTAGGAGGAACCAACAACGTCATAATGTTTTGCGGGGTGAGTCTCGCACTAATCGTCGCGATCGTTGGGTTAGCGTTAGTTTTTCTCAAATATCGCTATAACTATTGGGCACGGCGGGGCGTAGTGCACGATAAACCCACTTGGTTGAAGGGCAATATAGGCACTGTCGGCAAGACAACGACTATTTGCGAACCTATACGGGATTTTTATAACAAATACAAGAACAAATCGCCTTTTGGTGGATTCTATTTTCCGCTGAGGCATGTAGCCCTGCTGCTCGATTTGGAGCTCGTGAAACAAGTGCTAATTAAGGACTTTGGCAACTTCGCGCACCGCGGCAACTACTACAATGAGGTGGATGATCCCATCTCAGCGCATTTGTTCAACTTGGATGGTCCGGGCTGGAAGGAAATGCGCACCAAATTAACACCCACATTCACCTCCCTGAAGATGCATCAAATGCTGCCTACTGTGGTGGAGATAGGCGAACGCTTTGTGGCTGTGATACAGAGGGATGTAGACGCCTCACTCGCCATATCAGCTCCAGAAACGCCCATTGAAATGAAGGACTTGCTCGCCAGATTTACCACCGATGTCATAGGCAGCTGCGCTTTTGGTCTGGACTGCAACAGTCTGGCCAACCCCAATGTTGAGTTCCGCGTCTTTGGTCGCAGGGTATTCACGGAGCGTCGTCATGGACGTTTGGCGTTTGCCTTTTTGCAGTCATTTCCAAAGCTCGCCCGACACTTGCATATAAAATTGGCACGTGATGATGTCAGCGATTTTTATATGCGCGTTGTACGAGAGACTCTGGAATATCGGGATCAACATAAAGTGCAGCGCAATGATTTCCTCAATTTACTGATGGAGCTCCGCAAAGAGAGTGGCGGTGGTCTAACCTTCAATCAAATAGCCGCACAAGCATTCGTATTCTTCCTAGCTGGATTCGAAACTAGTTCCAGTACAATGGGATTTGCGCTTTATTTGCTGGCGATGCATCCAGAGACACAAAAGAGAGCGCGTGAGGAAGTGCAGAGAGTGTGGGCTAAGTACGGGGAGTTCAGCTATGAGGCCTACAAGGAATTCAAGTACATACAACAAGTTATTTATGGTAGGTCAATAGCTCTTATTTGTCTCACATATTAAGTAATGGAACCCCTCGCAGAAACCATGAGAATGTATTCCATTGCACCCATACTTGCACGGAAGGCTATCAACGACTACGAAGTATCAGGCACTTCACATATTATTGAGGCAGGGACTACTGTTATCATACCAGTTGACGCCATACATTATGATCCCGATATTTACCCAGAGCCGGAACGCTTTGACCCTGATCGTTTTGCACCCGAGGCTGTGGAGCAGCGCCACCCCATGTCTTGGCTGCCTTTTGGAGCGGGTCCACGTAATTGCATCGGCTTGCGTTTTGGTGAAATGCAGTCCGTCATCGGCTTGGCCATGCTGCTCAAGCATTTCCAATTCTCTGCCGCCAAAGAGACTCCTATACCATTAGAAATAGACAAGGAAAGTTTTATACTAGCCTCGAAAGGGGGCATTGTATTAAATGTGCAGTCACTCTAACAAGAACACATAATGCAAATAATTAGGCACAAATATAATATGTATTCGGAATATAATTCAAACAGGTATACAACATTTTTAATAAGTTCAATATGTTGGTATAGTTTATAAAAAAATAAAAATTTAAACGACAAAGTAATGGTCCGTAAAATCTGTTGTTGTGTTCTCAATTCAACCATAACAATAGATCGGATCAGCGGAACCTGTGAACGAACTCCAAAAAAATAACTTAATATAATAAAAAAAAAATATGGAAAAACATTAACAAAGTTTAATTTTTTTCGATTGTCAGGGAAAGTTACCAAAAATTCAACTGTTTGGCCGATTTTATAAACTCTGTACAAAGCGCATAGCGTTATCAACATTTATTAGTACCAGAAATACATACTCTGATTGGAAACATAATACCTGTGCAAATGGAATTAAATACACTCAGATAATCTGCTGCAGTGATGAAAACCAGATAACACTTGTAGATTGTAGTTTGAATATAAAGACGTTAATTTTAGCAATTGGACAAACAAAAAATCAAATATTTTTCAAAGAGCTTCACGATTTAAAAATGAACTAAGCAGAATAAACAAATTTTACTTTAACCTAGTATTAGTATGTAATCACTAGATCTAATGTCTTTTGACTTAAAGTAACAGTTAAAGTAACAATTGTTTAGAAGACCCCTCCTCATAAATATGTATATGATACACAATATATATATGGGATGCATAAAACCATAAAAGTTTATAAAAGGTATATCAGCTTTGTATGTTATATATCTATCATATTTATCTTAAAGGCTGATGAGTTTCATATTCACGACATTTATTTCCATGATGTAATCGATTTGTCCATGACTCTGCTATTTGCTATAACTAAAGAGTTACACTATTTCCAAATTTAAAAAAAAATTGCAATTTTCTTTATGCAACATTTTTTGCCCCCGTTGGGTATTCCTAAGTCGACCCCAATAGACCCTGAAACATTTCCAACCGGCACACGTAACACGTTCACACCTTTATGTCGCAGATAGTTGGTATATACACGTATGTATGTATAATAATCATATATGTATGTATAATATATATGTGTGAACTTGTAAGTATTTGTTCACATCTTTACATGGACACGTCTACCCGCACGTTTGTTGGTGGCCTGCCAGTAATATATTTTTTATTATCCTAGCAGCTATCTCCCCACATAATTCGTGCGCATTATTTGTCTATTTTTATTGTCTTCTCTGTTCTCAGCTCCCTTGTTTGTACCTGTTTATCTCGACGTTGTTTTGTCTTGAGCTGCAGCATGGCTGTTTCGCTTACTGCCTGTTGGATGGCTGCTTATTGGCAGCTCCAGCTCGTATTATGCCACTATGTGTGGTTTTAGGGCCAGACACTCCCCACTTTATCGCTCTCATCTAGGCAACCAGAGAGCTCCAGCAATGCGTACGTGATTTGATTAAGAGCCTTCGGAGCTTCGGATGCTGGCACAACACAAACAGGTGATGGACTGTTCCCTGCAATTAAAGGGCATCCTGGGGCTGGCAGGACCACTTAGTAAGCTGCTAAGCAGTATTGGTAAATTATAACGCTGATACATACATATGTTTTAGTTTATTCACGAAGGAACAGCTAATTGGTAAAGTCACGGGAGCATTTATAAGTTTGGTAAGCTGTAATAACTAAGAAAAAATATACAAAAATAAAAATTAAAAATGTATTATTATAAACTAGCGTCCTGCTCCTGCTTCGCACGGGTATTTTTTCAAAAATTGTACAAATTGTACATTTTATAACACACACACACTTAACACACATACACCCTTCTTTTTGATATGAGTTAGTAAGAAAGAGTAAAATTTATTTTGGATATTATTATTTTAATGATTTTTAGCTTATTTTTAAATTTTTTTGTTATTTGTTATTAGGTCAGAGGTTCTCTGTAAAAGATATTTGATGTTTTATTTTGTGGTAGCAAAATGAATTGATTTTCAGGAGTTCCGGCCCGTGATTGCTTTCGTATGTCGATCCCTACTAATTTGAAGGCTTGGCCTTGGGACTACCGGAAATTGAAGCCGCATAAATGATCAAATGGGATTATCGGTATCCTCGGTATCCTCGGTATCCTCGTTATATGAGCTAGTTGACCAGTTGCTGGGCCGTTGACAATAGTTGCTACACTTAAATTGTCCTGAAATTCCTTAATAAGCAGCCTCGTCCCATTGCACATGCTTGGAAGGCTTTAATTTCTCAAAAGCATGATTGCAATTCCGAATTTTACTGTCAATTCATGTGGCGGCAGTCCAGAAGGGTTTAGTGAATTTAAATGTCTTCAATACTTGTGTTAATCACGGTGTCCATCGGTTTGTAATCTTTTATTTGGCTGGGTGTTTTTGAATAATATTGCCTTAATATTTAAAGTGATAATGTTTCGAGAATAATTATGAACTAAAAGCATGTTAACCGTCGATACTGCAGCTTCCCAACAGTGAAGGAATCCATTAAATCGGTCCAGTAGATTCGGAGCCTTTTCAATTCAAACAAACAATCAAATCTTTGCTCTTTATAATATTAGTATAGATAAATTAGTATACTTTCAGAGGGCCGTTTCTTAATACCTAATTACTGAGTTATGTTTGTATCGGTGGGAAACAAAGAACTAAATCTTACTGACTTAAAAAATGAACGAAATTAAATTCAAAGAGTTGTACATAAAAGGACGCTTCCATATGTAAATTGAACAAATCGTTTTTATTACTTAACTGTGTATGTATTTGTGAAGCATACTTGTACATCGCTTTGAATGTCATCGAAATACTTTACATTCTTATTTACTTAATTTACTTTTTAGGCCAGTTGAAAAGAGTAACTCGAAGCGGAAACACAGAAAAATTGTTTGTAAAAATCTCGATTCGAAAAATATCCCTACTTAACATAACCACACATACATACATACACATTTGATAGTATTTTAATTTAACTATCAAGCCGTGTCGGGTCTCATACACTTTACAAGCCGAATAGGGAACTCGAAGCTGAAACACGGTCAAATTGTTTGTAAAAGAAATTCGATTCGAAACAAAAATGTTTCCGAAAAAAACACAAGCGAAAAAATTCAATTCTGTGCCAGAGACCAATCCGGGAGTTTCAAGCAGAGAATTTATAGGCATTCCGGATAGAGAATTTACGGCGACAACAGCAGTGGCGGACGCTGACAAGGCAAGAGAACAGGATCAGCAAGCCCTTCTCGCTCCTACTGAAGAACCCCCGGTAACTGCAATAAACTTAGTTCAAGTTATTCGTCGTGAGATTAACGACATCCTGACGGGCGGCAGTTTCAAGCATGATCTGGCCGAGGAGATGCTCCTTCTAAACAACTCGCAACAAGTCGGGGAAAGCAACGAGAGCATGGCTCAACGTCTCTTACAACAAACCAACTACGTCAAGCTGGATGACCTCAAGGACATTGTTGACAAGCTGATCTCGCGTAACGTCGTGCAATCGGCTCTTTCCAATTACAATACAAAGTTTGCCGAGACCATCAAGATTTTAAAAGACCATGGTGAACACCAGGCGGAGATCCACAAACAGACTATGTTGAAGCTTCAGGATCAACTCGACATGCTGAGGGGTCGAATCGACACTTTGGAGCACGTAACCCACCAAATGCAAAAGTTCAATATTGACAAACAGGTGGAGCGTGCGGTACAGGAATTAGGCCTGGCCATAGCGCCAACCTCATCCGCAACCAAGCAAGGCGTCAAACCCCCACCACCGCCACCACCCATGCAGCAATCATCTGCTAAGATCAAGGCCAAGCCCAAATCAAGGTCAGCTGTAGCGCTACCCCGTTCCCGCAAAACCTCTGTGGTTCATCTACCACCTCCAAGCACTTTTCAAAGCAGTGACACTGAGAGCGAGAATTTGGTAGTACCCAGTGTAAGTACATAAACCAGATAACTAAGAATGTCAACTATTGAAACAGAATAACTTCTAAAAAGATATTTAGATAACTTTCAGTTTTCGCTTCGTTAACAACAAGTATTTACCGATCACAGGTAAATTTATATCTTCAACGATAAAATAGATTAGCGAAGTTAATCGCAATTTCATCGTAACAGATTCTCATTTTTGAGCTATTGAGTTGATTCGGTTATTAGATATGGTTTCTGGATTTTAAAAGATAGAAGAAGAAAAGATATATAATCTATGTATCTGTCAACTGAATATACGAATTAAAAGGTATACTAGGAAGTCCAAACGCCAATGTAAAAGGCGATTTATAGGTACAGAATGACGAGACGAATCAGCATAGACTAATGCCCCTCTGTACATCCATTTAGTCGCCTGTGTATCCGTAAGAACATCGAGAACTTACAAGCCACAACAACTTAGAATACCAAGTTTGTTACAAATATGTACACAGGTCACAATTTAAAATCGTCCACATGCAACGAGAAGCAATTTTGCACTTTATTTTTAGGAACAAATAAATAGTTCATAGAAAATGGTTTGTCCTGTGATATGATATAACATTGAAATCTAAACCAACTTTTTCGCGATTTCCACGGCGATTGTTTGGGGATTCCTTTTAATTTGCAGCAAAATCCAACGTTTGTTTCTGGACTACAGTTTTTCTTTCGCACCTTTTCCGCATTTATCTTTTATTAAGCCTTCATTTTTATAATTATTTATTATTGCTTGAATTGTTGTTCGAGGTTTTTTAACTTTTTCGGAAAGGTCCATTGTGCCACTACTTTTTCTAGAAGCTGTTAAAAAAGTGACCACAACTCTGTAAATTAATTTCTAAACAGTTCATTTGGTATAACCGTACAGAACCACCAACAAAAATTCCAACAGGACATCAAATATGGCGACTGACAGCCGCCAACAGCAATGTGGCCGATTGATTTTTTGGCCGTAACATTTGACATTATTCAAACGCAAATTCTAGCTAAACGGTATAATAAAAAAGACAAAAAGGTTTAAATAATACAGGATAGCAAAAGTATATACATTCCTTCAATTATCTATTTTGTATTATACTTTTTAAAGCAAAATTTCATTTGATTAAAAGTTGACGATTTATATAAGTACTATATATCTGTTTGTTTTATATATATAGTTCCCATAGAACCAATTGGGAGATAAATCACACTTTGTCTTTATTAAGATTTCGTAACTAAATTTTGTATTTTTACAATTTGAAATTATTAAAATTTGCAAATAATGGTATCCTGTAATTCCTTTGTTGAATTGCAGGCTGCGCAGAATGTTATGCAACAAGAGGATAAGATTCGGGCCTACGACGAGTTGATACGCAAATATGATCGCCAAATGACATTGGTCTCTTCGAGCGGCACCATCACTCAAACACGCCTGACTCCAAGCATTACCGGCTTACTGGACGCGGCTCAAACCAAGGCGACTGTCCCTACTGTCGCACCCAAGCGCCATGAAGAACAACCACTGGACACGGCTAGGCGCGAACAAAGTGCCCATGATAGACAGCAGCGAGATAAATTCGAGAGACATGCGGCCGAGCAGCGTCTGTTTGAGACAAATCTGCTTATGTATCATAAGTCGCCGTTCACAATGCAACTGAACAGCCGGAAGGATAGTTTTCCTAATGCCCTTAGGGATCAGCTAATGGTGCCGCAACAACCCCAAAGACGTGCACGTGCTCCAGGCGGGAGCGCCAGTCAACGTTCGACATCCACACAAAGCGCTCGGCAAGGCATGCAACGCCATCGCCCGAGCCAGAGCCATCAGTCCTCAGTTCAGCAACAGCGCTATCCTCGCCCATCGGATGGCTCATCTGATTGGCTCTTTGAGCAGTAATGTATGGAATTTTCTGTATGGTTTCTGCACACTTCAAAGTTAACTCTTCACACAATCATGTAGTTTTCAGTTATTCTTGTTCATTAATCTATCTTTAAATTACTGTTTAAAAATCCCATTTGTCGCATTCTCATTGAAACTACTACTACTATGTATGCGTAAACAAATGATGCACCAATAAAGAAAAAATCATGCCGTCCCCCCAATTTGATTAGTTCTAACAATAATGGCCTTAGGCAGGCATCATCGAGTCAAGTCAGAATTCTGCAATACAGCATTTACTGCTTGCCTTGCCTCTCGAGTTTTTCTAGGACGTGAGCTCACAACAATGCCAGGATATTTTCAACAGGACATTGAGTGTCTTCCATAAGTGTGCGTGTGTTAAACTGAGTGAATGCATCAAAGGATGTATGGAAAAAAAACGAAGAAAAACTTTTCAGTAGTTTTCAGTAGCCGACACTTGCTTACTCTTTCAATTGCAGTTCCCATTCCACATACATTTTATACCAGCCCATTTTAAAATGAGATGATTTAGGAAACTCCCTTTCGGGTTCCACACAGCTGTAGCCAGAATTTGCTTTCAATAATTCTCTCTCTCTGCTGCTGCTAATAATTCAGTATCGAAAACTTAGATCCTTGTTAATAGTTGAGTAATCAAAAATAATCCCTTTAACTTATATGTCACTTCAATTTTTTATATGAAAAACACTTAAGTCATGTAAGCAAAGTGATCAATTATCTTTTAGTAAATAAATAAAATTGTGTATAAAATGATGTCTTCAAAATTGTATTTATAGTAATGATACATTCTTTAAAATATACCGACCAAAAGTGCTGAGGAAATCACAATAAATTGCATGCGCTCAAAAGGGAGTGCAGTAATGAAAAAATAGTTGAATAATGCAATATTATTTTTATTTATCAGCTTTTTTATTTTTTCATACATACATATGTTCTAAGACATGTGCGGATCATTTTAGTTTTCAATTTCTTTTTGAACCGTCACTTCATTTCTTATGAAATAAACATTATTTGAATAGCAGTTCCAAGCTATCCTATCTACTAGGGTATAAAAGTAATGTTTTTTGTATTATAGGGTGCGCCAATAGCTGTCTTCATATCTGTGCTTGTGTGCGCAAGCAAATAACAAGATTTCACGCTTGATTTTCACGTAAAAGGAACAGAAAATTGAAAAATCTCCACTTGGCGTGCAATAGAAAACAAAGTAGAGAGAAAAAAAAAGAGTCAACGGAACCGTTTTCCTTTTTTTGCAACAAATTGAAGTTTACACAGTAAAAGCTGATGAGTAGAAAAAAAATGGAGAATTGTCAAACTGTGTATTTTAGTATGCAAAAGTAGCTTAACGTTTACTTGGAGATTTTACTCTATTGTTTCCTGCCTCAAATAGTTTCTCTCACGCAAATGCTGATCCAGGGCCAATAGCATGGCGTCCAGGAAATCCGCCAAGCTTATTTCCTCATGTGACTCTAATGTGCCATTACTTGTATATTTTACATGAGCCAGCAGGGGCAACTTGCGTAAGGTGCGGCCACTAAGGCCAACACTTCTCTCGGCCAGACTGGTAAGTAGGCCCTCCTCTGCATCTTCGGCCTCCAGTTCCTCACGAATCAAAATACCAGCCGACATTAGTTCAGCCAACATTGACCTGTACATGAATTTTATAGCCGGCATTGCAGGCAGGCCAATGTATTGGCGTATATCAGCACGATCCAAGAAGGCCAAGTCAATGGTCTTTGCAAGATTCGAAGTGGCCAAGATAAGTACATTAGGCTTTGATTTGATCTCATCCAATTGTGTGAGCAGTGCATTTACGACGCGCATAGCATCCCTCGGCTCATTGCTGCTCATGGCATCACGGGCATAGGCCAAAGATTCCACCTCATCGATCAGCACACAAACCAAATTATTCTTGTCCGCAACAAGCTCGCTTATTTTAGCAAACAGCCGCGCCACCAGTTTGCCACTTTCTGAGAACCATTTAGAGAACAGGCTATGGCTATTGATGTCCACTAGATGAGTGTAAGCATAGGTGTTGTGCGTGCGTATCGCCAACTTCTGAGCTAGTGCCTTGCACAGACTGGTCTTTCCGGTGCCGGGCGGACCGTGCAGCAACAATAAACGGTTGCAAGCAATGACATTGGGATTGACATGATGCTGCGAGAAACTCAGCGCTGACAGCGCGAATTTCAAGAGCTAAAATGATTGTAAACTAATGTTGAATACATGTGATTTAAAAATTGTAATTATATGCTCATCACCTTTTCTTTAAGTCCCTCATCGTAGACCAAGTTTTCCCAAAGACCGATAAATTCTGTAGCAGGCAGCAACCAGTGGTTGGCAGGAACGACGCTCTCAAAACCATCACCATCGCCGCCGCCACTATCGAACAAGCCTGCGCTCATCTCGGCCCGGTGTGGCATATAGAAATGATAGCAGAGTTTGTGTTGTTCTGGTATCACCATCTCTGTGGCGCCATTTTCCTGTTCCAACAGTATGCTCTCCACTTTCTGCAGCACTGGATCGGAATCTGGCACATTAACGGCCGCATTCGTAATTCTAGAGCCTGTCGCTTTCAAATGAGCCTCCAGCTGCGGTAAAACTGCACGAATAGCATCCTTCAGACGCCTGCAAAGTAATGATAATTTTGAATGTCCGTTTAAAAAATCACAATTTGAAGAAACTTACTGTTCGCTACGTCTTAAACGCACTTCTACATGCAAAGTTATCCGTTCATTTAGCGAACTCATTTGTAAACAAAAATGAAAACCCGCTACAACAATTCGCAAATCAAAAATGCCGGCTATTCAATGCAGACGCTGCCAATTTGACATTCAGAAACCATTTTACCGTTCACAGGGCAACGGCTGCAACAGCTGTTACCAAACAACTAAACATATTAACATTTACGTGTTTCGAAAATAGAAGACTACATAAGAAATAGTGCAAATCCTCCAAGGAAGCTTAAAACGCTAGTGGTGATTCCCGTAAAATAAAAACAGTGGAGATCGTAAATACGAGATACTGGAATGTCGGTCCAAACATTGGTGGAAGGAAAGACTGCTGCTACCGGCGGGTATAGGGAGGAGAAATCTTCTCTTCGTTCCGCCAGCTCTCACACCTCAGCCGTGATTACCGTGGTTGATTCGGACTGCTAGTGCATCTCGGAGAGTGCCAGTCCTTCTCGTAAAAAGGAAAGGCCTAAAAGAATAAAGGAGGGCATGAAAGCGTTGGTCCAATATAAAGCGGCTCTAAAAATCAGGGCGCGGCTCAGCGGCAGCAGCAACATCACATCCGATGATAGGAACAAGCTAATGTGGGCCGACCAAAAGATTGAGGAGAGTCGCAAGCACTTCGCCCAGAAGCCCATAATGCAGGCCTCGAACGCTAAATTTGCAAACAAAGTCGAGCAGCTATTTGCTTTAAAAATTGAAGAGGGTCGCAAGCGCTTCACCCAGAAGCCTGCAATGCAGGACTTTAAGGGAAACTTTGTGAACAAAGTGGAGCAGCAAGTTGCCATAAAAAACGCCAGCTCTCGGCGGAATCGACTCCGGCGGAGGAACCAGCCTCAAAGCGTCCTCGCCAAATTGAAAAACCAAAGGAGCCGGCCAGCGTTATGACACAACGACAACTAGTCGTAGCCCTTATCAATGGCAATGGCAAAAATGACGCAAGAGCAATGGGAAATGGTGGAGGAGAAGCTGTTCGAAGCTTTGTTCCAGAGGATGGAGGGCCCAGATGTACCGCCCATATCTTTCGATGGTGCAGGCTGGTATAACTGAGTGAAAATCTTAAGCTGCAAGGACGGCTTAACCCTGAAATGGGTAACGGAGACGGTGGCGAAGATGGCGGCCCCTTGGAAGAGTGCCAAACTTGCGGTAGTGGACAGAACAAAGATTCCGTCCCTGCCAAAGGCGAAAGTGCTTTTTCCACGGGTCATGCCAAAGGAGCAGACTCTTAAACTTTTAAAATGGCAGAATCCTGATGTGCCTACTGCTGATTGGCAGGTCCTGCATGTTGCCAAAACAAATAAGGGTCAGCATGTGGTCCTGCAGATTAATAAAGAGGCCGAAGATATACTTTACCCAAGGTACGGTAGGATGGCATGGAGCGTAGGCAGTGTGTACCTACGCCTCAAAAAGCGTCACCCCGGTGACAAAAATGCGAACACTTTAGCGGCAGGTGAGGTGGAGGAAAACCTGGGCTTGGACACTATACTTGATCTAACGATGCCACCTAAAGACGAGGGAACGACTGATATTGAAGGAGTCTTGCAGTAATGCAGGCCCTTCAAATAAACTTTCATAAAAACAAACTAACATCGTCGGCGCTCCTTCTAGCTTTGAAAGAAGGGCTTGCCGACGTGGTGTTTGTCCAGGACCATTGAATAACCTCGAAGTACAAGGTTTTTGGACTAGTCACCAAACCTAAACAACAGTAAGTAGGATAAGAACAACCGTCCTTGAAAGGAAAGGTTATCTTCACTTAACTTATTTTACGGCATAGATGATAGCGATAGAAAGTAGAGGGGCGTACCAATGCTCCTGGCTTCCTGATATATATACAGTGACGAACAAAATTATTGGCACAGTTGGCATGTCTGACTTTCGCACAGTGTTTCTCCATGAAATATGGTGATATTTAAATAAAACAAATTTTATATGTATATATGGTGTATAAACAGAAGGCACCGCTAGTTAATTATGCAAGCTCATAATGGAAGCAGGGAAAGAGCGGCCCCTTTTAGTTGGGATGGACGCCAACGTATATCAGAAAGTATGGGACAGCCCGGATACTAACGATAATTAAACTACTTGTATATTATATAGCTTATGCATCACTCATTAGAATGGGTAGTTCTATACAGACACTCCTTCTCAGACCATTAATACAAATTTTTTAAACTGAATTTAATCGTGGCTAACCCCGAACAATCGCCCGGAACACAAACTCAATTTGTGTAAGTAGTAAGATTTTATTCATTTTTCGATTAACTAAAATTATTTTCACAGAGCTACATATGTACATATATAGTTGATTCAACGGTATAGAAAGTGGATTGGCCTATTGGGGAAACTCTATTTTTTGGAAAATGCGCCGAACAACTCCTACCACCTGAATGACACCGAAAATGGGTTTTATAAAACAAAAATCAACGTTTATGTAATGCTAATGCTTTCACTACTTGTTTGTGCTATTTATTACAAACAAAAACGTTTTAATCAAATTGAACAATTAACATACCTATTATGTATATATTTTCAAAACAATGGTGCACTGAAATGTTTGGCATAAAAGGAAACATAAACCAAATCGGAAATTATTCGTACGCTTTGTGCAAATATCTACAAGCTGAAAAGATTTTATTTATTAATCGCTATTTTGAAAACTTGATATGATCGAAATGAAATAATTTGAAAATAAAAAATACCGGCACTGCTGTCACGAACCCCGCAGGATCAAAACAAATTGCACATTTTATAAAACAAATACACATTTTAACGTTTTATTGGCCTTATTTTGTAAACTTCAGTATTTGATCGTTGACTCGAGGAAATACTTGTTGAACTTGCGCCAACCGAAACGCTTCTTTGGGTCTTTTTTGCTCCACGATGGTGCCAAGTTGGGCATCAGCCCCGCTTTTTGGGCCATCGTAACCAACGTTCCCATTTTCTTCTGCTGCCGATAGCACAAACCTGTGATGCGTCGCGGCAACATGCAGCCGTCGGAGCGAACATATTGCGACAGAATAAGTACGTCCGTGTGTTTGATATCCAATCCGAGAGTGCATTCCGGACAGAACTTCGTGTCGCATGCGGCTTTTAACATTTTCTCGGCACGTGGTGACTTAACACTGACACCCTCGTAAATCACGGCATTATTTTCATGTGTTTCATGGACTGAATAAAAATTATATAGAGTTTTATTTCATTATGTTTGCCAATTACACACATAGGAAGCAAATATAGTCCATCTGGGCTAGGTTATGAAACAAGAAAACAACTCACTTTCTTTAATCAACGAAGGTGTTGTGGTTACAATCGTACGTGTCTGCCAAACCGAGTTTCGAACTGTAGCTGTTGCTGCTTTTAATAAACTGGCCATGTTTAAGCCTAGTTTTAGTGATAAATATTATATTTACAATTACAATATCCGCAATACAGCGAAATGTCTTTTTAGCCAGTCACAGTGGTGCGCTTACAGCACTTTTTTTTTGAAGTGCTGCCCACTGTTACCAAAAGCGGAGCGCGACTTACGGGTACATTTGAAAAATATGAATAAAAGCCAAAATAAACGTAATTCATAAATCTTTGTATATATATGTATATTATCAATGATTAAAATTACATTAAAGTCTACTGCCTAATATTGAATTTCCGTTAAGTCCAGGTCATCATCAAATGCCTGAGACAGTTCCTGCTGACTCTGTAGTGTCCTCTCCTGCGTCTCGGCAATTCTCCACAATTCATCATCATCATTGCCCATCATCATGGATCGATCTGCGCCACCCTTAATGGCACTTCTGAGCTTATTTGGCTGGTGTTGCTGAGGCTGAGATCCCGTCACGCGTTTCTGTCGATTGCCCATCACAATTTGACTCTCTTCAAAGTATCCATTGGGATGATTAATAGTCGGCTCGGTTGTGGAATTATGTGTGATCATGAAATATTTGCTACAGGCCAATTGGTAATGCCCACTCGTCGCATAGCGCATGACCTCATCAATGGCGCTAGGCGACAGTCCATAAGATGACATTTTCGTTTTCAGGGAGACCGGATCCATCGCTTTGTAGGGACAGCCGTGACAATCGCCAGGCGCTGCCATTTCCTTGATAATTTTAAGACAGGAATATGGTGTATAGTTCACCATCGAGCCCTTCTTGCCATAGTTATGGTTAATGTTGTACTCATAACTGCGCGCAAATTTATCTGCATCCATTTTCTTTGTAAACTCCTCACGCCAAAAACGTAAGGAATCTTCGAGAGTCACGCCGATGCCTTTGAGAAAGAGACCATATTGCATACGACCGCCATGTTTTATGTGATGATTGGCTCGTAAATGCTCGTGGCACATACGCATACACAGTGGGTAAGATGTCTTTGAGAGCTGGTCCAGAGATTCAATTGGAACTGCCGCATCCTTGCATACCGTATAGTCCTTTCCCACATAAGAATTGTGCAAAGCCTTCAGCATACGAGAAATACGCTCGTCACTCTCGATGTCGTCTATGAAAACCTTGGCTGCAGCCAATCCTTGCTCGATTTCATCCATATGCTTGGTGCCCACAAGCGACACTAAATCATGAGTATTAACATAGGCAAATCCTGCTTTTAAATAGCAACGACGACTGCGCACCAAGTCCAGAACTTGGGTAAACGGCACCTTATAGAAATCCAGTAGCTCAATCTTGGCCACACTCTGACCAGCAGTACTCTCATAAAGGCCATCTTTCACTTGATCTTTTTGCGCTTCCGTCAGCGGCTGAAAGGAGAAATTGACCACATCCAGAAATTGCTTAATCTCCGGTCCACTTAGCGCAGAAAATTTGTACTTGAAATAATCCATTTCACGCGCAATGAACCACCGACTTAAATCCTCCGACCTGCAGTAAGCAAGACGCAAAATAAAGTGCGATATATAGTCGCGCCGGCGTGTCTGAATATCCGACTCGTGTTTGCTATCACCTCCTGTGCACAGGCGGAGATAATTGCGTAGACCCTCGCGGGTTAACTCTGCATTAACATATGCCTTCCAGTCATCGGAGAGCATGCGTAAAGCCTTTGTTGCAGCACGATCGAAGACACGTAACAGACGCAAGCGCTCCAAGGCGAGCTCTTCGAATTCCTCGATGTGAATGTCGTCCGTTGGCGGATATTTATATAGCATGACATTGTGCGGGTATTTGGTTTCCAAGCTCACCACCTCGAGCTTAATATCTGAACGTTGGCGTTTCTTCAGATGAAAATCCATGACAAACAAAACCAAACTCTCAAAAAAGCGCGCAAAAACAGAAAAAACATATGAGTGCTCTCCATCTTCAATTTTTGCCAATCACAACGAAATAAGTTTTAAATTGTTCACGAAACTAGATCGTTTGAGAACTTTGGGACCAGCTCTTTACTAATGTTTTCACGACAATTTGTACCTTGATTACATTTTAAAACGCATTAATCCATAAACGCTTTGTGAACCACATCGAAAATCTAGTTTATGTCCCAACTTCATTTTCTGTTTCGGGCATGAGTATGTTAAAATCAATAAGTCGCACCAACTGTAATATGTAATATAAGAAACTATTCTTTGTTTACAAATTCCAACTTACGTTTTTTCCTGCTTTGTTGTCTTTGTGCTTTTCTTCAATTTTATTCCGTAACGTATCAAACCATTTCTTTATATCAGCCATATTGGCTGGCAATTCAAACCCCCGGTAGCCAGCCTGCTTCAATGCTGTATTGGCACCAAAAGCAGCTGAATTCATAAGCAGGGCAAAGCTCTTTGTTAGAATGTATATTTTGCGTAACGGCCACTCTTCTAAGACTGTATCCAAATTTATTTGCTTTATCATGTACCATAATTCCGTGATCTGCGATAGAAAATATTACAAATATTGAAATCCTGGAAAAACTACATTTCCACTTACATTTCTATATATGTGCATTATAATAGGTTGCCCTGATCCAGACAGCTCGGCTATAAATGCGCGCAACAGTCCAAATGAAATCATCTTTCCTGTCTCACTAGCCACCAACATGTGTGGTATAACCTGTAATAACTGCAGCATATAATCAGTTTGTGCCTCGTCCTGCTTATTAGCAAGCTTAAAGTGCTGCAGCATATTACGTGTGGCATAGTCGATCTAGAACCAATAATTAAAAATTTATCGTGAATTTGAAGCATTGAAGCATATCTAATTACCATGGTGGGTTTGAGTGTATCCGAGTAATTGAAGCAATTTCCCAGCAACTGCACGCGCTGACCATAGCGATTTGCCAGATCCCTCGTTGGACCCAATAGATACACCATAATTGAAATCGTATAAAGCGATGATACCTCTTCTAAGCTTAATTTACGTCTTACAATAGTAAGGAAATCTTCACAGAGCTGAAACGCAACTGAGTATGTTTAAAATTATATGTCCGACTTTCATAGCTAATTGTGAATACCTTATCCACATCTTCCTCGTTTTCCGCAAAACTCCACAGATCGTCAACGGGCAGGGCGCGCAGGACCTCTTGAAATTGCTCATATTTAAAATGTGGAACTTCTATGCTATCTACATTCTTTTCAGTCATTTTTTCAGCTAACCCGCAGTCTTTTGGTACATTTTCGTCCTACTTTAATAACAATAAACATAGATTCAGGTTTGACGCTGATTTGGTCACAATATTGACATCGCTATTCATACATCGTAAAGTTATCGAATATATGAGTAAGTTCCGTTCTGAAAACTGTGACTGAAACTTTGAGTAGGTTGAGTGGGGTTCCTGCAATGACTTAAATTATACAAAATCTATTAAAAACAATTGTTCAGACCCGATTCCTCTTTGTAAAAATGGCAGTAAAGCTAATTAAAAGATTTTACAAAATGAAAAATATATTTCGGGCAAATCACCTAATAGTATTTAAGTAATATCTCTCTATTTTAACACGACCAACGTTATTTTTGATTCTTATTAAAGTAACTTATTGCAAAAATAATAATTAAAAAATTTTTAAGTCAATAACATCTTTTGGTATTAAATATTGTCATTCATTGTTACATGTGCCCTGATTTGCGATATTTCACCTGCTACTTTTATATTTGAACGATTCCGGTGAAAGAGTAGCAGGTATATAAATACTGCTCATCTCTATGACCAACCCTTTCATTAGTAAAAATATTTGGCCGTGAGTAACATTAACGGGAGCCAAGTTTCTTAAATTCCAAGCAAAACAGATTTTTTTGTTTTAATCGTAAGTAAAACTAAAATAATATAACTAATAATAAAAAGTTTGTAGCAGATATGCACAAAATTGGTTTATATATAAATTTCTTGGTTACATTAAATGCGCAGTTAGGCCACGCGTTTTTTCTGCTGCAATGGCCGCAAAAGTCTTTGTCTTGAAAGGAAAAAACTAGAGAAAACCTTATCAGGTGCTAATTATATGTGTATGCATGTGTTTTTTAAGTGTGATTCATGCGCTATTGCTTGCAATATTCGCTAAACTTGTTTCCGTCCAGTAACTGTACCCAGTTTCACACATATGCAGATATGTGTGTGTGCACATATACATATGTATATTTGGTACATATGTATGTGTATATAATTATATACATATGTATATATTTTGAGCTTGCCTTGCTCGTGTAGTTCGAACTGTTTGTAATTCGTATATTCTCATCAACTCGACTAAAAATTTCCCAGGTATATTTTTTCTTTGCATTATTCTATACATAATATCAAAGTATACCAAGATATTTGACGTACACACATGCATTGATATGTCTGTATGTACTATGTACATTCAGACAAGGCGAACCACCTAGCCCCGCATGTTGCTTGCTGCTTCTTTGCCTAACAAAATGGCGCGCCGACCACATGTTGTCGCCGCCGTTTTCGTGTCTACGACTGCCGCTCGGCGAATTCGTATGACACGAATCATTCCGTTTTGAAATTTCATTTGATAAAGTGGTGCGCGCAGAAGTAGAAGCGCTGGGAAAGCATTTGTAAAAACGTTTTTACTTATTTAGAAGGAAAAGACAAAGTAACCCTTTTGTGATATTTTAATATAAAATAATTTTGACATACGACCAAATTGAAATTGATCAAAATTATTAGAGTTAACATAAATACAATAAGAAAATACAGCTTAAACAATTTCTGTGGTTTTCTCTCTCAATTGTTGATTGCCTGTTTCGTGTGTGTGTGTGCGTGCGTGTCAAATCTTATAACAGTGCCAAAGAAAAATTCATAAGCAAGTAGCGCAAAATTATTCTACATTTGCTTTTGCTGTGTCCGTGCTCTCTTTACACATATGTATATATACACACACATACATACGTAGTATATCAAAAACTGTTAACGGTAGCGCGAGGTTACATTAAATTGTTTTTAAAATACAATTTTTGTGCTCGAATTATAAAAAGCAACAGGCAATATCTAGACACGCACCCACACACACACATACATAGACAGATTCACTCAATAGCAAGGACACGCGGAAAAGCCTAGGAAATAAACCACAATTTATTTCCGTTAAGTAAAAGTGTAAGTTCCTAATTAAATTTGTGTCTGCCCCATTATGCGCATTATATTTTTACATTTTTGCCAAGTGGACTGTTTTCCCCTCCAGCCGTCAAAACACAGTGCCACAACGACGACGATGTATACATACATATATGTACGTGTGTGTACATTGACCTCGTTTTTTCGCCGCCGTCGTTGACAGCAGCATTAAAGTTGTCGGTCGGTCAGCAATGCGCAGTTGTATTTTCAAAAATTTCACTTTACTCTGCTGTTTCTTTGTCGATGTCGATATTTTCTTCTCGTTCTTGTTGCCTTTCATTCGTTCTTTCTCTTGCATTATCACAAAACTGTTAAAGATCGTGCGTATGTGTGTGTGTGCTTTGTGTTTTTTGTGTGCGTTGGTCTGGTATAGCAGCAGCAAGCACATGTACAAGATTTTGAGGTTAATTTTTTGGTTTAACCCAGAGAATTCAGTTCACAACAAATAGATACCAACGTATGTACATGTGGAATATTTCTTACTATTGGTGTTATGCGGAATAATTTCTTTTAAGCTAAATATATTTTTTACAATGACTGTGCATTGCCTTTGTTGTACATACAACAAATAATAACTAAAAAAAATTTAACTGACAATATTTTTTTCCACTTTGCTCTCTACTCCATAAACCCAGCAATTTATTGTATGAGTCAAAAAACTGAAAGACCAGTGCTATCGGGTCAACGCATCAAGACCAGAAAAAGAGGTAAGATTTTGGAATCTCGTCTTGTTTATACAAGAACATTGGTGTAATGTATCTTTTAAACATATTAGATGAAAGAGAAAAATATGACCCAACGGGATTCCGTGATGCGGTCATTGCTGGTCTTGAAAAAACTGAAGGTGACCTGGAACAAATCTCTAAATATCTAGATAGCGCAGGCAATAAACTTGATTATCGTCGTTACGGTGAAGTGCTATTTGACATACTAATTGCTGGTGGTCTATTGGGTAAGTATCAGTTGTAATTTATCTGAAAAAACTGTTCTAATTCCTCGAATACTTGCAGTGCCTGGCGGTTCTATATCTCAGGATGGCGAAAAGCCGCGCACAAGCTACTGTGTCTTCGGTGCCCCCGAAGATATGGAGGCAATGCGCAACCATGAGCAGGTTAGTAAATTTTTTAAACTCGCAGATATAGGCATATTAATTAGAACCGTCTTTTGCGAATTCATTTAAATGGCGGTGTCGACTATATGCCAAAGGAAAAGCAACATTTTACTTGTCTTTTTTTTGTACAAAAATATTGCCTGCAATTCAAAGATTTCTTATGTTGCAACAAACTTTTAATGTTAGAAAGTAATATTTTTAAGACTAAACTTCTATAAGTTTGAGACTTTCTATATAGCATATATATATATACATATATGTATGTATATATCGAAACATATATGCTTATACGACCTATAATTCAGACTGCGACGGATAGGCAAACATTGTTTTGCAATTAAAATTGAAACCGGTTATGAATTATCTTACATATAATCTGTGTGACTGTATGCGAGGTTAAAAATCAATAAGCATTTCTATGAGCAGACTGCTATATTTGCGAATATATATATGCAGATGTTGTTGGAAATTAAATAAAACTGCTTTAAAAAACTAGTACTTATTACTCTAACTAGCTTTTTGTATTCGTAATGTTTTCAGGTGTTTATCAAGCTTAGCCGGAGGTACAAGTACCTCGAGAAAATGTTCGAGGAGGAAATGCGTAAGGTATTGCTCTTTGTAAAGGGCTTTACACCAAGTGAACGCATTAAACTTGCGCGTATGACTGCGCTCTGGTTAGGTAAGCAAAAACCACATACTATTAATGAAATTGGGAAAGCCTTGGCCATCTGTGTTGTAAACTGAGTGTTGCTAATAAAAAATAACATCTAACTCCACAGTTGGCACAAAGAAAAATATTAAGCTTGGTGTACTGACTTTTGCATGCACGCCAAAGGCAAAAGACACAAGTCCAAGTACATGCAGTATATTTCCCAATTCGAACTCAAAATTATAAAGAAAAATACAAGCACCTTTTGGTTTTGTCATTGTTGTATTTAACACTTGTAGTTTAATTGTTTCTGTTTCATTTGCAGTTAATGGCTCTGTACCACCAACTGTCTTGCTGGTACTGAACAACGAGCATCTGATCAAGGATGGCATTGCACTCGAGTTCCTATTGGAACTATTTTTGACGTTCAAGCAAGAAAAGGGCATTGCATATCTGGTACAGGCGCTTAAAAAAGGTGGACTGGAAAGCAAGTAAGTAGTAAATGAGATTCACATTTCACTCGGGAGCGTTTCAGGAAGATGCCACAGCAATTAAGTTGTTTATCTTTAATTAACGCTCCTAGATCAATTGGAGTTATATATTTATCGCAAATGAACCATAGCTTTATTTGGGTTCTCATTTAATTTCAAACAATGTCTCTAAAAGCAACTATAATATGTTTACTATGTTTATTTTACAACTGGGTCATATTATGTTTCTTTAGCCTTAAACAAAGAACAAATTAAAAACAATAGAAAACATGAAACTATTATTTATTATTATTTATATTGTATTTCTGCCTGCAGACTTATGGACTTTTTCCCACCAAATAAACGTACTGAGGAATATTTTAAACAAGTTTTTGCTGACAAAGAACTCAACGAGATCATCAAGTTGCATAAGGCGCAGGCCAGCCAAGAGGCCAAGCGTGAATTGCAGCAAACACTCATTGATGATATTAATGACGAGAAAGCGCATAGCGAAATAACTGCAGACATTAAAGAGTTTGCGATACGCACCAACATTCCCGATCATGAGATAATCGTTATTGTAAGTCCTCTTAAAAACGCTCTAACGCTTGTATTTTGTACAACTCCTTGGTCGATTGTTCTCATTATATATTAGATTTGGTCCACCATCATGTCACTGGGTGAATGGAACAAAAAGGAGGAATTGGTCACTGATCAAGCTGTACGTCATTTGAAGGCATACTGCCCCCTATTGCAGGCCTTTGCCTCTACTGACCGTTCGGAATTGGCTTTGATTTTAAAAGTGCAGGAATTCTGCTATGAGAATATGAACTTCATGAAGGCGTTCCAAAAAATCATCTTACTTTTTTACAAAACCGAAGTCTTGTCGGAGGAGATCATTCTGCGCTGGTACAAGGATAGTCACGCCAACAAGGGCAAAATGCATTTCCTAGAACAGATGCGCAAATTCGTTGAATGGCTGCAGTCTGCCGAGGAAGGTTAGTCTTCAACTGGTTATTTACATTTCAAAACTTGTCTGGCAGTTTTTGAGAAGGATCTTGCCGTGCTTAAAAGGCATAATCTGTGTACAAAATTGCAAGAGCAATATAGTTTTTTGCTTGCCTCGTTGTTCAAACCATGAACAACGCAGGCCAATGAAAACTTGAACATTTTAAATATATGTACATTATTTTTACGTACAGTATATTTTTGATAGAAATATTCGTATTGACTTAAGGTTTGCAAACTTAGATTACGGAAGAGTTTCACAGTAAAACATTTTCGGAATTTTTATAATTTGCGAATACATTTAGCGTAATATAGGATGAACTAAAAAAAAAAACTTTCCACAAGTTGTGTGCATATTCCAAAAATACAAAACAGAAGTAGTACCTTTGTTGATGGTATTATATTTTTTTTAAATATGCAAGAGCAAAAGAATGATTGGGTGTCCAAATAACTTAACATAGTTACATTTGGCCAATAATCATTCGGACACAGTCCATGAATGGAAGCTATGGAAATAATCGACTTTCAAATCTTTACTAACGGTATACTATTACTTTTTTTATGGCAGAGTCAGAATCGGAGGACGAGCAGAAAAACGGCGAATAACAATTTTGTAAATGAAGTGGATCGAAGCAGCAGCAGCAGACACAATGCCAACGTAGCCGCCCGGCCAACTCCCCCTCCCTCCATCATCATACAGCAGCATATAAGAGTCCAGCCACTCCTGGATAAGACGCCTCCCTATGTTTCGTCAGCCGCCAATTAATTGGGATGCAAGACACACACACACTCACAAATAAAGAGAGAGAGACAAAGCAACCCCAACCCCCCATAATCAGAAATTTTCAGTACATAGTTAATAATTTTATCAAAGCTATTTGAAATGAAAAACTTTGTTAAATGCTTTACATTTATCGCGGGTTTAATTTTTGAAATTGTAATTTCCCTTTGGCTCATTACCTTTAAGTTAATTGATATACAATTTTCTGCTATATAAAAGAAAAAACTAAAGCGAGCTAGAGCAATATTGTTGACAAGTTTAAACACAAAAGAAAACTGAGCTGCGTGTTTACATTTTATAAAATAGAAAAACTCACATGAAAATGTAATTTATTGATTAAAAATCAACAAATAGTCGATTTTAATTAAGGCGTAAATAGTGCTGAACATTTATAAAGACAAAAGTTGCAGAAAATTAAAGTTCTGCAGAAAGGCTAAATCTGGCGTCGAGTTGGCGACTATATGTGTATGTAAATGCGCTGTATGTTCGCATTATTTATTTACAACAATTATACATAACATAAATAATCATATATTTACATGGCATAAAGAAACAAAAACCTATACTATACTTGTATTCAAAGATGAACAAGCGTTTTTAGAGAAAACAAAATGTTTTAGTCAATAAAAGCAAAATCAATACATACACACACCACACCCCCCACACACATACATACATAATTATATACATATATACAAGAGCAAACAAAACCATCTTTGAACAGATGAAAAACATCGTCATATGCATAAAACATGAATAATAATGAATGTCTTGAAGAATAGACTTCACGGTAGCAAAATAATGCAACAAGTTATTGAGAAAGAAAATATGCTGTTTACAAGTTTCAGAACAAAACAAAGTAATTATACATAAAACGTAAATTGCATGGAAATATATACATATATAAATAAAAAAGAAAAACTATAATGGTAAAACGAATGTCGTTAAATCAAATTGTTTTTTTTATTGAATTGAGATGGCTGATAAACCCGTTACAATTGGAATCGTTTTATTGCTAGTAAAGATAAATTCCCATTTACAGTATTACTGAAAGTGGAAACTATCGAATTCCATTATCTATAGAATCGAGGCACTTTCTCGTTTCCGAAACGGGATCAAATCTTGTTCTGCTATCATCTGAATGATCGTATAACTATAGCATAACAATCCCTCGCGAAAATTCCGATGACAACATGTTTTTTATTTACTTTTTTTTTTACCATTTCGTGCTTTAGTCATCCAATGCTAGGGTTTCAACCAGCATTTGATTATTGAGAGGACTTTATACATTCATAATATGAATTTCACAATTTTGCACACAAAACAAGTAGAGAAGCTAAAGTCGGGTGTCCCGACTTTGAAAAACTCTGTACATAGAAAATTTATAGAAACTAAACACATTAAGAAAATCAAAAAATAAAGCAAACTTGTACAGCGAACACACATACGTTCATAAGGACAGACAGACAGGGCTAGATCGACTCGTCTTGTCACCGCTGATCAAGAATATATATATACTTTGTGGGGTCTGTCACGCCTCCTTCTGTCTGGTACTTTTTTCAACTCGCGCAAACCTAATATACTTGTACTCTTGTAATATGTAGTTCTCAAATAATTTAAATAGATGGTAGTGTTCTCTCATGTAATCCGATCACAACCCGTATCATTATTTTTCTTACAAGTATATCATATCAGAAAGGGAGTTATGGAAAATCACTAACAGCGAGGAAGTGCATCAAAAACTCAAACTCGTACTTTCGCGGACTTGAGAGTTTGGTTAATCTAGCTCTAATACTTTCTGATATCATTCCGGTCATACAGACAGACAAAGTATATATCATCATCCTGATATATACTTTGTGGGGTCTGCCACGTTACATACATTCGCACAAAACTAGTATACCTTTCGGGTACAGGGTGTAATTATGTAGAAAGATTGAGGATTCGTCCACAAGAAGAAATTTTATTTTGAAATGTAATAGCAAAGCCACCATAAAAAGAAGCTATTTGAATGACGAGGTTTCTTGTTGTTTAAATATATCCACATGTGGTAAATATGTGTACGCATATTTTCGCAACTTCTATCCCTGTCAACAGATAATCCGGGAATATATTGTAAAGGCCCGTCCGTATCATGCTTTATCTACTCAAGTACCGTGCTATTGGAACGTAACGATTTCGTCGGAAGTTTAACGGATTTCTATAAAAATCATTACGGATATCACTGGGCTTTCGCATTTGTACATATATATGACTTCTTCAAAAGATAATACTTATTTAAAAACAAGAATAGAATGATAGAGTCGTGAACGCCAGATTCTTAAAAAGCACGCCCATTTCAATAAAAAATTATTTTTTGAAATAATAATAATAATAGTATACCTTTTTTGTACATTGAATTGTATACACGTTCTCTCATCTCGGATATAAAGGAACTTGGTTTATTAGAAAGTGAATATTGCCTTTTGTCTGAAATTTGTAACGACCACAAGAAGGAATTTTCGACCATCGCTTTTAGGTCATAAGTGAAGAGATTGACGAGACCAATTTTTATATACCCATATCCGGCAGTACAATTTGTACATTTTTCAAAACTACCGAGCATACAGAATTCGGAATCACCACTTTATGAAATCAAATGTTTTTATAATAACATTCATTGTTACATAAGCTCTATAGAATTAAACGTTAGGCCACTCTAATTCGAAAGGTACACATACATTGTTCCAAGTTTATCAAATGCGTAAGCAAATTACCACATAATTAATATACGGGAGTGCTAAATAAAAAAAAAAAACAAGAAATGCTAAACATTTCAAAACCTCCCTGAAAATAAAATTACACGCTCGAAAGTAAGACTTGTTTTTGGAAATACTGTTTTTATTCAACATAAATTTTCTTTAAGTTTAAAAGTAATTTTTCTTGCATTTGTATTTTATTTATATATATATTTATGTATGTATATTACTCGATGTTATATAATAACGCATATGCTGTTTGTTTTATTGTATTGGTAACGCATAGTTTATATTTTAGGTTCTTGTCCTTTTGAACATTTTACTTTTGCAAGGGTCAAAAATGAGTTTCGAAAACAATTGTTTTATGATAAATATCTTCAGTATCTAAAATTGAATGTTTCATTTTTAGTGAACAGGCAAACATTAATATACATATTGCAATTTATATTTAGCTAAATTATTTGTGTGAATGTGCATTTTGTGTGGGTGTTTTCAGTTTAATTTTGTAAAACTTGATATGAACGAACGTTTAAAGGCGCAGGCGTGCAGGCATATAAAGCGTTAGTTGTTAATTTGTTGCGCAGTTGTCAAATAAATTGAGGCATTCTAATTTCATTTTTTGTTTACAATTATTTGTCTTTATCAATTGGAAGCGTGAATAAAAAATATGTATGCTTGCAACAAATTTAACTACTCTGGGCCCTTGGCAATACTTCAACAATGCGTGCAATAAATGTGTATATAGTATGTATATCCCTTTGGATTTGTATTCGTCCAACAACAGACATTGATCTAGGCTTTTGATTCATTTTATAAACATAATGTGCCAATGAAAAATGCGCATGCGCACATTGCCCCTGAAACATTGAAATTGTTATGTCAACTGATTTATTTCCAATTTCGATGATTTCAGGGACAACAATGCTGAGCGCACATGCACATAAATCAGTGGCACATGCCTAAAGATACAACTGCGCGCGCTTCTTGCCCGGAACACACACTGCGGCCTGTGGATTTCTATAACACATGGCTAAAGAGAACAAAATTAGATAACAAACATAATAAACACGATCATAAAATTAAGCATAACAAAAGTTACAGGCAGAAATTAATTTACAAAAATCAAAGGGTCGCTGAAGCCGCCTGCAATTAATATGTATGTTAACTAAAGAGGACGCAAAACGTGGCAATAGCGAAAACATCAAATTTTGTACAGGAATGTATGCATTTTTTTTGTTTTGTTTGTTTTAGGTATTTGCATTAATTTGTATGTAAAATGTTAATGTTCTGCTTATTTATGCCGGTTACTTCATCATTCTAAATAAAAAACAAACTTTAACAAACAGACGCTTATTATTTTTTCGTTATTTCCTTCATTTGTATGCATGTACGGCTTTTCTGTTTTATGTGTGTTGCAACATCCTCTAAAATATATAGTTATTGGCGTATATATATATATATCGTATAATAAGTAGCATACATATTTGACCGAAAGTTTTCTTTCAATTCACTATACAAAGAGACAACGGCAATAATAATTATAATTCAATATAACGTTTCATAGACATAATTTTGTTGTTGCATGAGTTAGAGAGGATGAGTTCACTTCGGTTTCTGCATTCGTTATTTTAGTGGGTGGTTTTTTGTTATTAACTTCAATTTTTGTTGGTTTCTTGTTATTGTAGTTGTTTTTGCACTTAAAGAACAGTTTAATCGGTGAATTTACGATTGACGTTGCGACCGAACAGGGCATTACGTATCTCTGGCACAAGTTGCTGTGAAATCAATTCTAATCTTGACTCCAGCGTGTTGGGCACCTATAAAAATTGCAGTATTATGTATTATATTTAATCACTTGCATAGGGATATGATTTACGCACCTTGATGCGTCCATTGAGAGCCAACAGTTCAACACCGCCGCAGGTGTTCGCTGCCAGATATTCTTTCTCATCGATGAAAAGATCGACATCCTGATTCATTTGGGACTTGTATTGGTCGATGGCAGTGTGCAGAACATCACGCACTAGAGGTACATCGACTTCACGGCAGCGTAGTGTTACTTTTGGCTCCATTACCTGAAACAATCCCTGAACAATCAGTTTGGTCAGCACGGATTTGTATTCAGCCTCGTTCTTGGTGACTTCACCGAGACGCTTGCGTGCGTCGTCCAGCACGTTGCTCACATGATCCTCACGCACTTTGAGCACCTAAAAATGATCAACTTTATATGGGCAAGGACAAATTAGTCACGGCTGTCGGGACGAACCTTCAAACGGGCCTGATTGAGCATATTCGAGGATTGAATTTTCTTCTGCAACTCGACCTGCTTTTCCTTCTTCTCGTAGTATTCCATAATTTTGAGACGCTGTTGCTGGACGAGACGTCCCTTCTCAATATTGAACTCTTCTTCGGCTTTGGCATCGATCTCTTCGGCTTTTTCATTGGCTTCCTGCTCAATGAATGCCATCATATGTTTGATCTGTATAATACAAATTGTTGGTTTATTAATGAAAGTCGAAAAGGAACAAGATTAGTTATGGTAGGAGTCACTAATTGCCTAAAAATTAACAACAATAACTAGCGTAATTGCTTATCACCTGTAATCACATGATAAACGTCACATTTGTTTTGTGAGTGCAATTTTCCTAAAGGCATTGCTACTTTAACGCGGCGGCAGCTGCTATTGAAATTTACGGCTAAGGGCTAAGGCAGTTAGGTTGCCAAATGTAAATAATAAGAGTTTTGTAAATTAAAAAAATTTTTTTTTTATATTTCCATTCAAATTTTTCAATGCCGTTGATAACCCAGCCGTGTGACAGTGTTCACGGTAGCGCTTAAAGCATGCTAGTTGTCTCACTTTAACACACTGTACAAACGTTATGCGTGTCACATGACCAATCAGCATTTTTTACTTCGCTATTTGTGTGTACGAATTTTTGTACTCCAATAAGTTCATATCACCTAGAATTTGCAGGATAAGCTTCAAAATAGTGGAAGAAAACTAAGGTGTACTATGTAGAAGTCATAACATCTGTGCGATCCGCAAAGGTACACGCAAAGCGCACATGACCAACAGAATCCCATGACCGTCATCTTTTTGTTTTTCACTGGATTTTACAATAAACTTTTCCAATTGGGATACAATTTCAGAATTTGTGCATTATCAGCACTATTTGCCTTGCGTTTTATAAAAAAGTTGTGCAATTTTCGGCTATCATTTACCTGTTTTTGTACATCAGCATCGCTTAGAGCCATCTTGACAGATTTTTTTCACTGCTCAAAACCGAAAAATAAATTCAATTGTTCCGAAGGAATTCACGTACTACCGTGCCTGTAATAGTTGCAATTGATTTATTAAATCATTAAATAACAGAATGCACTAGTGAACGTTTAATGAATGTCGATAAAAGCTAAATAAAACTGAGGTCGTACTTGCAGTGTGTGCGCCTTCTGCCCGTCGTCTAAAAAAATTTTCAGTACTACAGCGAATCGATCATATGATTTGTGGCTAAGCCGTTTGCCATTTTAACGGCGTTAACAATGACAAACAGTCGGCACCAAAATATGAACGTCATGCACAGTGAATGGCAATCATAAGTGTGACTGTCATGTTTTAATGTATATGCACGCCGCAAATTTTATCGAAAATTACTTGCACATTAATTGTTTTTAATATAAGTTAGTGTTGTAGTCCAGGCGAAATGGAGACGCTTCTGGAGCAACAGCGCCGCTACCATGAAGAAAGGGAGCGTCTTGTAAAACTGATGGTCGACGAGCATGCCACAAAAAAGCCCGGAGAAAAGGAACGCATTCACTCGGAGCACCGGCTGAAGTATTTGATGGAACTGCACCACAACGCGACGCTCCAGCTCCGTGAATTATACGAAGACAAAGACAACGAGCGCAAAGCTGAGATTGCTGCGTTATCCGGGCCAAACGAGTTCAATGAATTCTATGCACGCCTTAAGCAAATCAAGCAATTCTACAAAACCCATCCAGGCGAGGTGAGCGTGCCGTTATCGGTGGAGTTCGAGGAAATGATTAAGGTCTATAGCAATCCTGATGACATGGGCGCACTGGTGGAATTCACTGATGAGGAGGGTGGTGGTCGTTACTTGGATTTGAACGAGTGCTATGAGTTGTATTTGAACTTGCGAGGAGTTGAGAAGTTGGACTACATAACATACCTCATGTCCTTCGACCATGTCTTTGATATACCACGAGACCGCAAGAATCGGGAATATCGCAAGTATATTGAGACATTGAATGAGTATCTGCATAACTTTATAATGCGCATTCAGCCGTTGTTGGATCTGGAGGGTGAGCTGGTAAAAGTGGAGCTCGAATTCCAGCGTCAGTGGCTGCAGGGTGCATTCCCTGGCTGGGCTTTGAAGGAGACGGAATCAGCATTGGCCAACACAGGCGCACATTTGGATTTGTCTGCGTTCTCCAGTTGGGAGGAGTTGGCCTCGCTAGGATTGGATCGTCTGAAGAGTGCTTTGGTCGCCCTGGGGTTGAAATGTGGTGGCACTTTGGAAGAGCGTGCCCAACGCTTGTTTTCTACCAAGGGTAAGAGCACATTGGATCCTGCACTAATGGCCAAAAAACCAAGTGCTAAAAGCGCCAATGCCCAAACACGAGAAAATGAGCGTAACAAAGAGATTGCACAGTTGGAAGCACTTCTCTATAAATATGCTGAGTTATTGTCAGAGCAGCGTGCAGCAACTAAAGAGAACGTTCAAAGAAAACAGGCTCGCACAGGTGGCGAACGCGATGACAGCGATGTTGAGGCGAGTGAGTCGGATAATGATGATGATCCTGATGCTGATGACGTTCCATACAATCCGAAGAATTTGCCACTCGGCTGGGATGGCAAACCTATTCCCTATTGGCTGTACAAGCTGCATGGTCTCAACATTAGCTACAATTGTGAGATTTGCGGTAATTTCACCTACAAGGGACCCAAGACGTTTCAACGCCATTTCGCCGAGTGGCGTCATGCGCACGGCATGCGCTGCTTGGGCATACCGAACACTGCGCATTTTGCAAATGTAACGCAAATCGAGGACGCCATCACGTTGTGGGAAAAACTGAAGTCTCAAAAGCAGAGCGAGCGCTGGATTGCTGATCAGGAGGAAGAGTTCGAAGACTCATTAGGCAATGTGGTTAATCGCAAAACATTCGAGGATCTAAAACGGCAGGGATTACTCTAGAAAGAATAATATATATTTATATGTATGTAGTTGCTGGTATAATCATTTATATTGCTTAACGTAAGACTTAAGAACAACCTCAAGTAAAGATATGCGCTTGCATCTTCAAACCCACTTTATCTACTGCTGTCAAAGGTAATAAATTATATTGTCGTGGGCCCCTTGTCTGCACGTTGCTGGCTGCAGTGGCTTGTAGCCAAGGAAATTCCTGATGTTGAGCATTATTGTTGAGCTGTATGAATGCAGATTGTGTAGTATGCAGATGCACTTTGAATTTTGCATCCTCCGTTAACTTTGGCAATGGCTTTAGCCGTTCAGACAATTTGTATAAAGCGGCGCGCAGCTGTTGTTCGTATAGAAGCAAATACTGATCGTCCTGGCCATTGGGTAAGGACTCAAGTTCACAGCGATAACTCTCCATGTGCTCCATATCATCGCGATAGATAATGACCTCTAAGCATTGTAATTCCTGTCGACGCAGAAGCTCCTGTGCTGCGTTCAGAATATTTGTCAGGTAGTTATTAAGTGGCGGGTAAATAGAAACGAAGACCGGTGTATTGAAAACTCTTCGCTTTTTAAAGATTTGTGGGGGGTAAACACCGCGAACATACAGTAAATGATTTACAAGGACTTCTATCGCCTCCAGCAGTATGTCCGCACAACCTTGAAATTATTTATTTGTAATTAATAATTAAAAACTCAAATTTCACCATTTACTTTCGGGCAACATTTTTTTGTTGCCAAAATGCAGCCAGTGTTGAAAAATGTCAGATAATTGTTCACAGCTGTTGCACTGCAGTTTTTTATAAACACACACAAACATTGATTAATATGTGTATATGTACATATGTACATACATATAAGAGAATACAAAATATTCGTACATATTTTGCAGTTCATCTGCCCTACTTAGAAAATATTAGATTGTGTTTAAAATATATTCATATAATAGAGTTAAAAACGACTACAACTGTAATGCCTCCAGGTACATACTACTTATGGTGCTTACAAATGTAATATGAGATGTGCTCCAATTTCCTATTATTTACATTATCGGCTGAATTAAATTACAAATGTATACATATATAATACATAATAATCGCTTTGTTTATCAATTTGTATTGTTATTGGATTGTTATAAGCAGGGTGGGCTTTGTTTCGCTTTGCTTAACGCGAACAGCAGACATATGTACATACATAATATGCAGGCGTCTGCGTTCATTATTGCCAGAGCCAGAGCAGTTGAGTTCAAGCTGCAAAGATAACAAAAGGCGAGATACAATCAGAACCTACAATACGTACCTATACTCCATGCATGCATACATATACACATATATGGTTTAGAAGTTGAAAGTCGAATTCAGTAAGCGATGAACAGCGCTTGAATCGTGAGCACAGAGCAACAGGTGGCTTACGACCAAAAAATAAAATGGCTCTGGATACATGTCCAGAACTGCGGCAGCTTATGCCGTTGGATCAGCAGGAGTTAATAGAGGTTTGTACAAATAATTAAAGAGATGCTTTATTAATTTGTATATCTCTGTCTGCAGTCCTTTCTCAAGAGCCCAAACGGTCGCAATGAACGCTTGCAAGCCCTGCTCCTCCAATCGCCTTATCCGATCCTGCAAATATTAAATTTGTTTTATAATCGGGCTAAATTTAATATTGGGCGCGTCATTAGCGCTGCGCTCCATGAAATGCTCGACAATGACGCATTATATGAGTCGCCACAATTTATCAACATGCTTGCCAATTTTCCTCAACAAATAATGGAGGCGTTAACTCTGCAACAAAAGCTTCTGGATCGCTTACAAAGGGATTGCGGTGCTAGGGAGGAATTGCTGCTGGCCTTGCTGGCCCGTCAGGATGAACAGCTTTTAAACCAGCTCCTGCGTAAATCCCGCCAAGCATTATGGATGCAGTGCAACGATGGACTGCCCAATCACCAACTAGTCCTACAATTGGCGTTGACCGAGCGGGAACATTTTGTGCCGCGCTTGTGCAAACAGTTGAAGGATTTTCATTGCATACAAGATTATGGGTTGCGCAATAACCTGTTGATATTGAAGCTGGCGGATGAATTTGCACTTGGAGGACAGACTGTCGACCAATTGGGCTACATAGAGAAGGCACTGGCTGCCTTTAATTTGTCCGCAGTGCCTCCAGAGCTGCAGGAGATACATCACTTTTTTTACGCAGACTTTCAACGCTTGTCCCTGTTGCTGGCATTTCTGCGACAGCACGAACAGGTGAACAAAACCTTAAGGGTTGAGGCTTTGTTACGTGCTCCAGGCGTATTGACGTTAATCCATGACCAGGGCATTATCTGTGAGACTAAGCAGCTGATGCAACTTATCGAAGACACATATAAGTGGCAGCAAAAGACGCCTGCATTAAAATGTGTGCGTACACAAGAGCTGGAAACATTAAGCTACTATACGGCCCTCTGTCATACATACGACGTGATAATGGAGGAGCAAGAATCGACCAGAGAAACGCTGCTGCAGTTGTCTACACAGCTGCGTCAGCTCCGATCTCTTGGGGTTCTATGCGCCATTATGGAAGACATTTTACATTTGGTCTTTCTGCGATGGGAACAGCTGGAGGCAAGACATATGAAAAACAGCAATGCTGGCAATGGCGACGATGACGACGACGACGATGATGAGCAATATGTAGACGATGAGGCGACGCCACCAGCAGCAACAGCTGCTAATCATAGTAAGCATCGCTATGGCTTCATTTGTCGCGCACCCTCCATACATGCACTTTTCACATACCTCAAGAGTTTTGTGACCAAGAAGCGTCACACAGAGGAGTACAAATGTGCCACGGAGGAAACGCAGTTTCGCTTTCAACGCATTTCGGGCGCCATTAATGAGGCACTCTGGAAGTATAGCGTACTGCAAAAGATTGAAAAATCGCTGACCAAGTCAATGAATCAGGGCGTAGAAGGTGCTGGCTCCTACTTGGGACCGGAGCAGCTGTTGCAGTTAATTCAGCTGCACAATAAGACACGCGAGAAAGCTTCCAGCGACGATGAGAGTGGAGAGCGTCTCAACTTTGCCTCCAGTTTGACTCGGCGCAAGTCAAAGAAGCAAAGACGTGCCTCAACTTTTAGTGGAGCAACAGCATCCACGGAACTAGCTGGCGGTAGCGGACTGACATTGGAGCAGCATCGTGCCCGTGCCAATAAAATGCGTACGGATTTGAGTGATGGTCTGGGAAAGTATAGAAAGTTAACACCGCCATTCACGGAGCGCTCAATAATACCCAAAATGCTGTGCACGCCTGAGCAGTTGGCCATCATAGCTCTGGCTTTAAAGAACTTTAGCGATGTCAAGTATATTATAGAGGTGAGTGATGATCCCTTCAATGCAATGTAGTTGCTTAATAATTTCTGTTCTTGCAGACATTTCACCTGGAGCACAGCCATCTGAAGCGTGATTTGCAATTCATGGAGCAGCAACAACTAATCAAAGAGAAACTCTCCAACATTTATGCCAACTATATGGCTCTGGAAGACCAGCGCGTAGGCAGCAACACCACTACCGTAGAGCAAATAAAATCTGTTGCCGCCAAGGGTTTCGAGCTCTCCAAAATTATCAGCGTTGTGGAGAATTTTGCGCAAGAGCAGCGACTACATCAAAGCGTAGAAGTGAAGCAGTTGCTTCAACGACACGCAGGCAACTCACAGTACGCGTTTCTGCGCCAATACGAGGAACGAAACTTAAATGCTCTCATCATAGCCGATTTAATTGTGAACTTGCGATTCAATCGTGAGATAACCTCTAATCTCCTGCTGGTAATAAGAAGGCAACAGCAAATACACCAATCCAGCGAGCAGCCTGAAGATGTCAGTACTGAACCACAACCATTGCGTGGGCAGAAAACTCAGTTACCCATGGAAATCGGGGCGATGACGTTGCTGGAGAATCTGTGTGAATGCATGAGAGTCTTGGAACGTGATGGTCGACAAGCAGCTTTAAGTGATTTGTTAAGCAGGCACTGCTATACTTTAAAGCCACAGCAGTTGGCGTTGGAGCTGCAACGAGAGGCGGCCTTCAATGCTGTCTATTACAAAAAAGATGCGGACTATGCCCATTGTCAGGATTTGCGCGCCCACATCCTTCATTTTCAGCAGCTAAAATCGAGGCACAATTATTATGCCCGCTTCTGCAACTATGTACACCAATTAGCGCGCCTTCTCCAGCTACGAGACGCTAATTTGGAGTACCACACTACCCAATTGCTCAAACATGATCCCTACATTGTGATCGGTGAACTAATCTACGACTGTGATATGACACCCCTAGAAATTGAGAGCAACGTGGCTGCTTTAAATTTGAGTCTTGTTCATGTCATTGCATTAAACATTTGCCCCCAACTTATGCCTGGTGTGGCTGCAGGCCAGATGGTTGCCCAACGTTCTGTGTCACCACAAAAGAAGGAGTCCATTCACAACTATCTGTCGCAGCACAATCAATTATTGGCCCATCTCCTGGAGACAGTTCAGCTGGGACACATTTCAGTCGTACCACCAGAGTCCGGCCTGAACTTTGCCTATTTACATGAATTGATTGAACTAAATGAAATAGACACCCTGGCTAAAGTGTACAATGGAAACAGGGTGGTGTCTGCTTTGCATTCCTATAAATTGGACAGTACCGCTTTGGAGCATTTGGTGGAGTCCCCCCTTTTGCAGTTGCAAATTCAATTGCTTGGCATCAGCGGTACAACAGGTGAGTGTTATACGATAATAATATTGTACGTGGAAGTGGAATATATTTAGGCTTATAACCGTTTTCGAAATCGATTAGATGTGTGAAATCAAATTTGGTAAATTGTTTTAATTTAGATAAACGAATTTGTTTTTGAAAATTGCTTGCTCTAGTATGTAACAGGGAGATGGAAGCTTAGTATAGTTACATATGTATATATGTATGTAGATATACATACATGTCTGTCTGGATGAACGCCTGGGTTTCGGAGACGGTTGAGTCCACATTCACCAAACTTGCTATGTAGACTCTCCTAATATCCAGACAAGACGAGTTTATTTTATTTTTTTTATTAATGTTGAAAATGGGGCCGTTAGCTTCTCTGAAAATCAAAGGAACTCTTGCAAAAGATAACTTTTAATGACCCTGAGCCAAGGTTTCTGTTGTTTCAACTCGAAAATATCCTTCTAAATACTTGTCTTTGCAGAATCTTTTAAGGTGCGAGAGGAGCGCATCGATGGCTTGATAGGGAAACTAATTGAAATGGATGGAAGAAACATAACGCTAGTCACACACATGAGCGACATTGTACTGAGGGCGCGACTATTGCAAGAGCACTTCACGAAAATTCCGACTACAAATTTGGCAAAGGAGCTGATCGAGCGTACTTTGCAGCATCGACAGGCATCACAATCTATACCCAACTCTCTGAGGAAGCAATTGGAGCACACGTTGTCCGATATAACGATCTATGCACGCGTTTCTACGGTGCTGGAATTTGAGACTTGGCCCCAGGCTTACGATTTTGGACGCAAGACACCGAATGTGATATTCGAGCAGCTGCTGCAAAGACAGCTTTTTGAACTGTGCCACCAATGGTGTCAGGTGGTTCAACTAACCACCGCTTATGCGGCGCAGCAGCGCACTTTTCTGCTTACTCTATTGGATTCTCTGCTCGAGGTGCTCGATGATGTGGATGAGCATTTATTGCGTATAATAGAGCTGTTTCCGGCTACAGCGCTTGTTAATTTTTTGGACACGCATAAGGATAAGCTGCGTTCCCTTGAACTAATGGAATGGGTGATAAATTTCCTGGTGGCGAATGCGCGTAATGCGCGTGTTTATAGGAACTATAGGGTTTCCTTGATGGTGTGTCGTCAATTGGGCGCTACTGAGCGCCAACACTTTTGGCACCTGCTGCGTTATCCTTTGCTCATTATCGAGCAACTCCTTCTGAATGCCAAATTTGAACTATTGGCCAAGGTGATGCCAGCGGCTAGAACGGCGCTGCAGAAGATTCCCGCAGGCGAGCTGTGTCCTTACTGTTTTGACAAACGTGGACATAACTATGATGTGCAAGCAACCGATGATAAAAGCGGAGGTGTTGGAAGAACTGGAACTCCAATTGGTAAAGCAGGCGTTTCACAGAAGGTGCGCTTCCAGCTGGGTCACACCAAATCGGAGACCTTTATTCTACTGAACTTCAATTTGTACCAGCAAGATCACATCGTTGGCAATGATTGCTTCGATCTACTGCTGCGCATCTATGCCAGCAAGGCCTTGGACTATCACATTGCCGACGTGCATTCGGAGCAAAGTTCCATCAGCACCGACCTACAGAACTCATTGGACTCGCTCTGTGGAGCCTTTCAAATACCAAAACAAGCGCCCAGCCGAGAGCATTGGGTGAGGGATGAGGAGGCCTCCCATTGCATGTGTTGTAAGCGCGCAGCCTTCACAATGCTGATGCGACGTCACCATTGCCGGCGCTGTGGACGCGTCGTCTGTTATGCCTGCTCCACGCAGCGCATGAAGATAACCGAGCTTTACGGTGAGCTGGAGGTGCGAGTGTGCAATGAATGCATGGAGCGTTGTGCTTCCGAGCTGCAGCCGCCAGTTTCAAATGAAGAAGTTCCTGCCCTGGGAACGAGCTTTCCCTTGCGTCGCAGCGCCGTGAACGCATATAAATGGAGACTGAGTGGCATCATCACCCACGACAAGTTGCTACGTGAAGAATTTTGCTATGAGCATGCACCCAGTGTGGCTCTGAGCTTGTCCATACTCAACCATCATCAGAGTCAATTGCAATGCGTCGAATTCTTGTTATTCCATTGCCGCAAGCTGGAGAAGCTCATTGTGCCCAATCCGGAAGTGGACTATGACCTGGTGGCGAAAATGATGAATGTGCTAGCGTTGGCCGCAAAGGTAGACAATACTATTTATGTGATTCTATGTGATTCCATAGTATATAATATTTTTATTTCTTTTGCAGGTTCGTGGTGCACCTGGAGATCTGGACAACATACGTGAGCACTCGGAAATTGTGATGGCTGTGGTACAGCAAGGCTGTGAATCCCTCATTCCTCCTGGACCTCTCAGCGATCAGAATCTGCGAAAGCTGGCCGATGCTCTTGTGGAGGCGGAACATTGGTCCCTCGCTCTGGAAGTTCATTTAAAATTTGGATTCGCCACAACAGGTGTAATGGCAGCACATGGCATGGCTTGTTTGCGAGCCGGATGCTATGATGCAGGTAATTCGTTCGCTAGAGCTGTGTCTGTTTTTTTTTTTTAATTTGTATTCCCCTTCTATTACAGCACGGGAGAAGTTTGCTCACTGTATGACACGAGTCTCCAACGAGCAGTTAAACAGTGACATATGCAAGCATATATTTTCCAATAATGTGGGGAATGATCTGAAATCAACAGATGCCGAGCCACCCCCAATTAAACGGCCGCAACGTGGACCCGCCCTGCTGCAGGAGGTCCTGAAACTCATTGCGTCGATACCGTTGCCTCATATCCAGCAACAGCCGGAAACTCTAAAACGTGCCTCGTTGGTGCGTAACTCAAATACTTCGCTTGCTTCGCTCTTTTCCCGTCGCAAGGAACCCCATGTGCCCCGAACGCCACTACACGAACCGGCGCTCAATGTGATGAATGCTTTGGCCAGCTTGAAGCAGATCGCCAAAGGAAATTATGGCGAACATAATGGAATCTGTGATGAGGCAAATCGTCGGCAATCGCGCAGATTTGAAGAATCCTTACACTATGTGCTGACCTATGGCTCCCATGCGGACATTTTGCAATTACTTATGCAGCAAAACGAGCTGCGGGCGGCTTTGAAATACTTGCAACATGAGAAACTGGAAACGGATCACTTTATACAGCAGATTTTTCAACCCAGCCTTGCCATCGGTCAACTGCCCGTACTGATTGAAGAAATGCAACAACTGGACGATGTGAAGCTCAGTTCGTGGCGTCTGCCTTTGCTGCAAACCTGTAGGCATTTGGAGCAGCAGCAGCAATTGAATTCGTTATATCAATTGCAACTATTGCTGAAAGATCCCATTCGCGCCAGCATGACTTGCGTGAAGTTCTATGCCCTCAATTGTGACAGCTTCCAAAAGTTGCACGCTAATGCCGAGCATTTAAGGTCAGCGCACATGCATTTGCAGAGTGAATTGGACGCCAGCCAGTGGGACGTACTGCAGCGGGAGCAACAGCCGGCTAGAAGAACGAGCACGGTGAGCGTGGGTTCAACGACAGGGGCGTGTTTTGCCATGCAGATGGACGCACGTGCTCTTAATAGCCATATTAATACCATACGGCTTCAAATGGAGGTGGCTAAGTTCCTCGCCAAATGCGAAAAGGAATCCCCCCCATCTAACGATGCACTTATTACCCAGCAGATCCTGAAGCAGGCAAGTAATCGTTTAATTCACAAGGAAATACTTTATCGACATACATATGTATGTATATACATTTATTTTACAGATCCGGTTGGACTCACATCGAGCCTCACTTCCGACTCTTTTTGAAGGACCTGCTGACAAAATTCAGCTCTGCATTCTAGTACTTCTGTGCGGTAAGAATATAGATGTGGGCTTCGGTCTGGCTTACAGGTAGGTTGTTTTTGAAGGCACTATAAGAGTTGCTAATCTAATATTCTTTCCTCAGCATTATACAAGACTACAAGCTGGCGCCCATGAAAGTTTTTGGAGCCACGGCAAAGTATTTGGCACGCAATAAACGTCTAGCGGAGGTGGATAGACTGCTAAATTGCATTGCCAGCAACAATGGCGGAAGCAGTAGCTCCGATACTGATGAACTGCTCTCGATTGCAATCAATGCCGCTGTGCAATGCCACGAGCCAGAGACTAAGCAGCTATTGGATAGCTTGGCCAAGCGTATTAGCAACGTGGAGTTGCGTATTTCATCTCACATTTTCATTGGCCAATTGAAGTCGGCCTATTTACTGGCCAATAAATACGACCGCTTGGCAGATATACGCAAGATTTTACGCCAAGCTGAGCTTACAAATCAGATACACATCAAGAAACTATGTGAAAAGAAACTGAATATTCATTCAAAGCCAATGGCACCAACGCCACTGTGATAATTTATTTTCGATTTGGCAACAATATATTCAACTGTATTTGTTATATCAATTTTTTAGCTTAATATTTATTTTAATCCTTTAAGCTGTAAAAGACAGCAAGTATTTCGTGTTCTATGGTAAAAAGTTCTCAAATTGTACCAAATTATATTTAAAATGTGTATTTCCAGTTTATTATACATATGTACCCAAGTTTATTAAACAGTTTTACAAACCAATCTCAGTGATTTTGTTTATGTTCATTTTAATTTGGTTTTATTTGAGTAAACAATGAAAGTTTCTAATATGAAATAGCGGTTATTTGTCTGCTCTTTCATCTTAGTCAAAACAGAATGAAAAGCTAAATGGATACATTTTATTGGAGAAAATAGCAGTTTTAGATATCATATATTACTAACTCTTTAAAGCTCTACACTGATGTTCTCTTGGTTGCGAAAGAATGACTGCAATTTACAAAATATTTGATATCATTTTGTCCGAATGATAAACAACACAACATTTCAGATACCAATAGGAATATTAACATTTAGAACTTCACTTTCACAAGATTTTGACATGTTGCGAAAGTTATCGTTTTATTTATATTTATTGTTTGTTATTATAGCCTGCACCTACAGGGTATTTATTTTAATAAAGACGGTGGACCTTATTGGTATATCTTTTAACGAATTTGAACAACATCTCAACTGTTTTCACACGCAGTATTGTTCCTGAGCTAAAAACTTATGATTTTCAGGAGTTATTTTCGTATGAGAATACCATTAAAACAAGATGTTGTCCCAGCTTTCAATTTTTAGGCGTATGTTTAATACACAGCTTGGGCTTTCCATTAGAAAAATATATTTTTCTTTAATTATGAAGTCAATATTGTACTGATTGCATAATTTATTAAACTACAGCAAATGTGTTTGTTATTTTGATGCAAAGTAGAAGCTTGATCAACTAAGTTGCAAAAGTGAGATGGATGCAGCTATTTTTCCAAAGACCCAGTTATTAACGCTTGGCCCTAAAATTTAATGAACAGACTTGGCTATGATTTTGTTTTAATTTTAATGATAATGACATTTTGGATAGTTTTATTGAGTATATGAGATTAAATGACCGTTTTAAATTAAAATACAAATAAATTTCAGTAAGTTTCCGCGAGTTTCAATTTTGTGTTTTTGACGACCAGCCATGACACGACATGACACTGTGGGACCATAATTCAATTACAACACAAATAAAATAACTATCTTCCGTTACATATAAATTTCTCGATAACACTAGTATAAATTGGTATTTAGATCTTTACACAAACAGTTTGGTGATATCTAAGCATGTTAAAAAGGCACGTTTTAAGATTTTGCAGCAATAAAGAACGTACACAAGATAAATCTTCGAAAGGCGAAAAATACAATTATACAAAAATAAAAACGAAATCAACTATAAATATGATATTATTTTGTTGTTATTATTAGGAAAGCCGCTGAATCTGCAGAAAATAAAGATTACTTTTTCCCATTTTTAAATTTTTGTTTGGTCAAATTGTGAAATTAGGCTTTAACTCCAGAAATACGTACTCAACAAACGAGGCATCATATATGTACGAGTATATGACGACATTTTGAAATCAACATTTTATCGTTAACATAAATATAAAGAAATATTAATATTTAAGATAAAAAATAAATCAAACAAATGGAAAGTCAATACATTTACTAATAAGAAGGACCTGCAATAAATTCCATCGTCTGCATGCTTTAAATCATTTGAAATCTGGTCAGTGAAATATTCCAAACTATTAACGTTTTTGGCTGCGCAGTCCATCCCTGGGGAAGCAAAAATCGATAAATTACCTCTATCGATACAAAAATTAGCTCTTGTCATTTAGCACTTACATTTTCACTTAATTTGTGTTTCGCGGAACCACACTCGTTTGCTTGTTTAATATTCCGCCAGGTACTTTTTAAATATATATGCATATATTAATATCCTTGGTGACGGATTTATTCATAAAAGCATATCGCAAACAACTGTAAGAAGAGCTGGATCTCCTTTTTTTGGTAAGAGTGTGCCCCCATGCTGATTAAAAGTAGAGTTCGGTGAGTTCTGCCCGTAAGTTTGGAAAAATGGCCATCAAATCGTAAAATATTTACCCAGTAAATTTTGAATCGCTACCCAAAAACTCAAATTTGGATTCTGGAGATACAGTCCACAGTGTTTGTACATATGTATGTATGTATGTATATGTTTGTTCTGGTTTTGTTTGTTTATTTATTTCTGAACAGAATCTGAATAATGGCCTCCCAGCCTATGTGTAGAATATGCGCCATATGTTTACCAGACGATGGCAGCGCCTGCAGCTTGTTTATAAAAGACACTACTTTTATGCGACAACGCATCGAATTGCTTACAGGTGTATGGGTAAGCTTTGTGTGATATGCATGTATGTACATGTGTTAATAAACAAGATTTTGTGTTTCCAGCTCGAGGATCTACCCAATATGCCACAACATATTTGCATATCGTGCTCCTTTGATTTGGACCAAGCGGCTGCCTTTCGTGAACGATGCATCAGTACACAAGTTCTGTTGTCTGGGTACACGAATAACGTATTTTTTTGCGAGCTACAAGCGGATGAAAGCAGAAAAAGTGGAAAAGCTCGCCCATATAAAGGAGAAATCTTAACATCATCGGAAGAAGAGGACGACGACGCGACGTCAGAGGAGGAAAATATAAGTGACGACCCTTCTATGCGTGCCATTCTCAAAACCTATGAAAGTAAAAAGTGGATAAAAGCGTGCCAAAGCAAAAAGTCTAAACGTAGACCTGATAAGAATAAACAATTTACATGTGAATTATGTGAGCGCAAATTTGATGAAAAAGATTTGCTTCTATTGCATATTAGTACGGATCATGAGGGCGCGAAGCCGGAATTGTGCCAACATGAAGACTGCAATATGCAATGTACTCATGAGAAGTAAGTGTTTACCGTAATTTTAAAAAAAAAGTTCTTAAGATCACAATATTCTACGCAGACCTGATTCAGAACGTCGCTATAAATGTTTCTACTGTGAAAAGAGGTTTATCCATAATGCTCATCGTGTCGTCCACCATAGAGTGCATACAGGAGAGCGGCCGTATATGTATGTTGCTGGAACATTTATAAATATGGTTCGTTGTTACTTTGTTTAGTTATATTTTGAAGGTGCGAGACTTGCTTTAAGTCGTTTAAGCGGCGAGACCATTTACAAAGACACAAATGCAGACAACAAAAACTCAAGGAGTTTGAAATAAAATACGCAAATGCTAATCCTAAAAAGAAGGACCCGCAATCAGAGAATGCTGAACGGTTCGCGTGCGAAAAATGCGATCGTAAATTTTATAAAAAGAGCTTGGTTCAATTCCACATACGCACAGAACATGAGGGTGAACTACCGTTTGTTTGTCGGATTGAAGGTTGTAATATGAAATTTAAAACTAGTATGATGAGATGTGATCACGAAAGGTAAGCTATAATCCAAAAAATTCGTAATTTTTAGAGTCTGAAAACGCTAAAAAAAATTGTATCCTTCAGAAAACACACTGAGGAGCTTCCCTACAAATGTTTGTATTGCGAAAAGAGATTTAGATACCAAGGAGGCCGTACAGAGCACCATAAGGTGCATACAGGAAAGCGAGCATACAGGTAGTTTTTTACCGATAACTATAATAGTTCTATTCTATTAATTTTTATGTTTTATTAAACAATTTTAGATGCGAAATATGTAACTTTTCGTTCCGACGGAAACAAAATTTAGAAAGACATGAGCGCGGACAAAGTCATAAAGTTAAAGTGAAAATGGCTCATTCCGGACGCGAAGCTTTTCTGTCCACAGTCAAGCCTCAAAATAAATAAGATCTCGGAAATAAAAATTATTATTATTTCGCCGTCCAAAAAATGAAATGAAAAAGAACATGAATATAGATTTAATTATGTATATGTTAAGTATACACCAAAGAATAAATACATGAAAAAGCAAGTACGTACGATAGCTCCGATCTCCGAGGCTTATGTACCATTGGAAATGTATTTTTCTGCCTTTAATTTACATAGAAACTTTTCACAAATGGCAGCTGCATAATATGCTTATGTACATATATACATACATATGTACATATATTAGTCCGATCCAACTCAAAAGCTTTTCTCATCGTTTAATATATCAAAGTATATATTGTAAATTTAAAAAATTATATATATATTCTTTTTCGGAAAAATACAATTCGTCAAAACGAAATCAACTTTAAATATAAAATAACGATTAATTTTTCCCATTTTTAAATGTTTTTTTGGTCAAATTGCCAAATTAAGCTTTAACTCCATAAATACGTACTCAACAAACGAGGAATCATATACATACATATGTACGTATATATAAATTCCATCGTCAGCATACTTTAAATAGAAAATAAATTGGGTATAGCTAAAAACGGACATTTGAAATCTTGTCAGTGAAGTATTCCAAACTATTAACGTTTTTGGCTGCGCAGTCCATCCTTGGTAAAGCAAAAATCGATAAACTACCTCTATCGATACAAAAAGTAGCTATTGTCATTTAGAACTTACATTTTCACTTAATTTGTGTTTCGCGGAACCACACTCGATTGATTGTTTAATATTCGGCTAGGTACCTTTTAAATATATATGCATATACATATATTATTATCCTTGGTGACGGATTTATTCATGAAAGCATATCGCAAACAACTTTAAAAAGAGCTGGATTTCCCTTTTTTGGTAAGAGTGTGCCCCCATGCTGATTGAAAGTAGAGTTCGGTGAGTTCTGCCCGTAAGTGTAGAAAAATGGCCATCAAATCGTAAAATATTTACCCAGTAAATTTTGAATCGCTACCAATAACCCAAATTTTTATTCTGAATATCTTGTGAAGCTACAGTTCACAATGTTTGTACATATGTATATGTTTGTTCTGGTTTTGTTTGTTTATTTATGTATGTACATATGTATATGAGTAACATATTTGCTTATTTCTAAACAGAATATGAATAATGGCTTCCCAGCCTATGTGTAGAATATGCGGCATATACTTACCAGACGATGGCAGCGCCTACAGCTTGTTTATAAAAGAAACTACATTTATGCGACAACGCATCGAATTGCTTACAGGTGTATGGGTAAGCTTTGTGTGATATGCATGTATGTACATGTGTTAATAAACAAGATTTTGTGTTTCCAGCTCGAGGATCTACCCAATATGCCACAACATATTTGCATATCGTGCTCCTTTGATTTGGACCAAGCGGCTGCCTTTCGTGAACGATGCATCAGTACACAAGTTCTTTTGTCTGGGTACACGAATAACTTTTTTTTTTGCGAGCTTCAAGCGGATGAGAGCAGTGGAAGAGCTCGCCCATATAAAGGAGAAATCTTAACCTCATCGGACGACGAGGCGACGTCAGAGGAGGAAAATATAAGTGACGACCCTTCTATGCGTACCATTCTCAAAACCTATGAAAGTAAAAAGTGGACAAAAGCGTTCCAAAGCAAAAAGTCAAAGCGTAGACCTGATAAGAATAAACAATTTACATGTGAATTATGTGAGCGCAAATTTGATGAAAAGGATTTGCTCCTGTTGCATATTAGTACGGATCATGAGGGTGCGAATCCGGAATTGTGCCAACATGAAGACTGCAATATGCAATGTACTCATGAGAAGTAAGTGTTTACCGTAATTAAAAAAAAAAAGTTCTTAAGATCACAATATTCTACGCAGACCTGATTCAGAACGTCGCTATAAATGTTTCTACTGTGAAAAGAGGTTTATCCATAATGCTCATCGTGTCGCCCACCATAGAGTGCATACAGGAGAGCGGCCGTATATGTATGTAGCTGGATTATTTATAAATATGGTTCGTTGTTACTTTGTTTGGTTATATTTCGAAGGTGCGAGTCTTGCTTTAAGTCGTTTAAGCGGCGAGACCATTTACAAAGACACAAATGCAGACAACAAAAACTCAAGGAGTTTGAAATAAAATACGCAAATGCTAAACCTACTTCCTCAAAGAAGGACCCACAATCAGAGAATGCTGAACGGTTCGCGTGCGAAATATGCGACCGTAAATTTTATAAAAAGAGCTTGGTTCAATTCCACATACGCGCAGAACATGAGGGTGAACTACCGTTTGTTTGTCGGCTTGAAGGTTGTAATATGGAATTTAAAACTAGTATGATGAGATGTGATCACGAAAGGTAAGCTATAATCAGGAAAATTCATAATTTTTAGGGTCTGAAAACTCTAAAAAAAATTTGTATCTTTCAGAAAACACGCTGAGGAGCTTCCCTACAAATGTTTGTATTGCGAAAAGAGATTTAGATACCAAGGAAGCCGTACAGAGCACCATAAGGTGCATACAGGAAAGCGACCATACAAGTAGTTTTTTACCAATAACTATAATAGTTCTATTCTATTCATTTTTATGTTTTATTAAACAATTTCAGATGCGAAATGTGTAACTTTTCGTTCCGCCGGAAACAACATTTAGAAAGACATGAACGCGGACAAAGTCATAAAATTAAGGAGAAAATGGCTCATTCCGGAAACGAAGCTTTACTGTCCACAGTCAAGCCTCAAAATAAATAAGATCTCGTCCAAAAAATTAAATGAAAAAGAACATGAATATAGATTTAATTATGTATATGTTAAGTATAAACCAAAGAATAATGCATGAAAAAGCAAGAACGTACCATAGTTCCGATCTCCGCGGCTTATGTACCATTGGAAATGTACTTCTCTGCCTTTAATTTACATAGAAACATTTCGCAAATGGCAGCTACATGAAATAAAAATTATTATTTCACCGTCCAAAAAATTAAATGAAAAAGAACATGAATATAGATTTAATTATGTATATGCTAAGTATAAACCAAAGAATAATGCATGAAAAAGCAAGAACGTACCATAGCTCCGATCTCCGAGGCTTATGTACCATTGGAAATGTACTTCTCTGCCTTTAATTTACATAGAAACATTTCGCAAATGGCAGCTACATGATATGCGTATGTACATACATATGTATATTAGCCGGACCCAACTCAAACGCTTTTCTCATAGTTCAATACATACATATGTATGTATATCAATATACATAGTCCCAAATCCAAGTATATTTTGTAAATTTAAAAATTTTTAAATACATACATATGTATACATACATACATACATACATACATGAAGGGCTGCGGAAATTACGGTAGAGTTAAAACAAAGATTTTGTTCTAGGTTTTTAAAGGGACTGATTTTTTTGCGGCTATTCATCTAGTTGCTAAGATTTAACATCCATTCGTACATACATATGTACGTGTTTTAGTACGTTTCTGCGTTTAGTTGTTTCATTAATTTAAACTATTAAAGTCAGTCACCAATGAAAGGCTTTTCAACAATATCAAAGCAATTTCCGTATACTGTTACAGATTTGATTAAGTTGAATCAAAAACAAAGTGGTCATAATAGTATTTCTGGACCATGGCTTAAAACAGCGGTGGGCACGAAATTTCAGATCGAGAGCCCTACAACATCTACACCAAAAATCACCGGTCGAGTTCTGAGAAAAAATGCTACTGAAAATCGAGAAACGACACACGAACTATGTGCATGTATTTTGTTTTTGCATCAATCTGCTTGTGTGTCTGGCTGGCGACAACTACATGTATTTTGTTTTTGTAAGTTCGCTCGCGATCGATCTGTTGCTTATGGGTCTGGCTGGTGCCACTACCAAAACATAACGGAAAGAGCCCTGGAGCTCAAAAAGCCGCTACATGCCTATCTCTGGTTTAAAACAATTGCTTTGACTATTTTGTACCTCCAGCCCTGGCAGTAACAACAATCGATACGACGAACATCGTTACTCAACACTTTGATTATTTGTCGCAATATACATATGAGTTGTTTATATTTGCCATTCCGTAGAATGTAAACACGGCCTAAAATTTACGTTGATCTTTTCTTAAATCAAGTAACATGTCATCATCACTCATCTGCAGAATATGTGCTGAATTCATATTCGATGACACCGCCAAGAAAATGTTCGAAAACGAACCTGATTTAATGCGACATCGCATCGAATTATTAACTGGGATATGGGTATGTTTTACCGATGTACATTTGTCTGCAAATATATTTATTCACGAACCGGATCTTGCGATTACAGCTTGAGGATCTACCCGATATGCCACATCATATTTGCACAGCATGTTGTTTTGATTTGGAACAAGCGGTTGCCTTTCGGGAACGATGTATAAGCACGCAGGTGCGATTGTCCACATTTGACAACAGATACAAGACTAATACTTTTGAAGCGGAAAGGCATAAAGCAAGTGAAGGAACTTATAATTATAAAGAAAGCGGTTCAAAAACCCTCACTTCGGAAGAGGGGGACGTTAAATATCAACGATCCCTTTTGGAGGAAAACGTCGCTTTGCGTGAAATTGCCGCATCCTATGAAAATAAGACGCAAAATGTAGAAAAGCATCAGCCCCGACCCGTCAAGGACACACCATTCACATGTAAATTCTGTGAACGTAGCTTTGCTGGACAATTTTGGCTTCAATTGCACATTGACACAGAACATGATGCCGCGAGGGGGGATATTTACCAGAATGATACGCAATGTGCGCATGAAAGGTAATTGTTAATTGTAATATACGAAAACTATAAGATTATTAAATAGGAATTGGATTTTACACAATAGACGGACCTTCCCAAATATCTGCTTACGTTACATTCTTTCTGCCGTCGATATAGCTTTAAAGAGGCGTACAGACTGCATTATGTAGGTACATGAATATAAGTATGATCATTTTGTAGCGAGACGTCTCGAATCCATGTCAGTTTGTTCATCAATCTAGATAAGCATACATAGATACAACAAGTAAAACGAAGATACATACATAAAATGTACAATAATACACAAAGTATATACATACATATGTATGTATGTATGTACATATATTCTTGAACAGCATGAAAAGACGAGTCGGTCTGTTTGTGCGTTCGTCCGTCTGTCCGCTAGATACTGCAAATTTTGTACACAATTTCCTACGTGGCAAATATCTTCAGTTAGTGATTATGAGTCGGTATGGTTAGTTTCATTATGATAGATCAATTTGAAGGAAAGTTATAGACTTACTTATTTGTAATCTCTGTCCAAGCGCTGTCCGCAGCTGTTGTCGTTGCTGCTTTGGTTCAACATTTTACCACAAATGTATGTATGTACATACGTGCCAGAGAACTGGATCGGGTACTAGATTTCCGATCACACTCGAGCGTTTACTCGTACTCGCAGCTTATTCCAAAGGGGGTCCAAAAAATACAATTTTTTTTACGGCACGATGCGTTCGAATAATAATTTATGCATATGATCAATAGGAAAACTTCAACAACTCCAATTCCAACGAAAAAGTGCTCCATAATAATGAAAATGTGGTAATTTCATAGTCCGAAATTTTTTATATACATATGTATATATGTATATTTATACGTGAATATACATACATACATACATATGTACATAAACAAGAGGACACGCTAAAGTCGGGTTTCCCAACTTTGAAATACTCGGTACATATGTGTAGAGTAATTATAGAAATTAAAAAAATTAAGAAAAAGTAAAAAAAAAAAGTTTTAACTCCTTTGGTATTGGAACTCATGTAAAGCGTGTGTAATTGCACACTTACATACGAATATCGTTTGTGCGTGTCTACGCATGTTTGTGTTTGTTTGTGTGTTTGAGTCTCTGCAAAGCGGGCAGGGCTCGTCAACGAGTGTTTTGCGATTAAAATGCAAGTTCTAAAAAAAAATTGTGTGTTTTTTTTAAAATGAAGCGGAGCAGCGCGCCAAAACGAAGCCACAATTTAATTTGTGGGACTTCCCCTAATATGAGTGCTACCTTGTTCAAGTGCGTGATTATTTACACCTAATCCTTGTTCTTACACGGTAGATTGGTTCCAGAAACAGCCGTGTAAAAAAGACATTGATCATATGCAAAAAATAGGTGATTGGTTCCTTATCTCTAAAGAAATACATATGTATGTATGTATATATGAAATTTTCAAATTTCAAACCGTAGTATGTCAAAATCGTGTAAAAAAGACCGTGTAAAAACTGAATTAGGTGTAAGAGTGCGAACGTGTGTCCCTCAGTGCAACTTAATTAAAGTGTAAAGTGAATTAGTATTGGGCAGGTGAGTGTTTGTTTATACATACATATACATATCTATTTACATACATATACATATGTACATGTATACGAGTAGTATGTGCCTTACAAAAGAAAAAGCCAGAAATATTTTTGTGAAGCTCGTCATATTACGCGAGCTATAGAAAATATAAAATCGGTCGGTGAGAATAGTGAGGCAAATAAAATAGGGAGGGAGAGAGAGATGAAAATTAATTCATTGTTTTTAGAAATTAATAACTTAACGTCCACTGTACTTCAAAATTCTACAGGCTTTAATACTTGCCAGCTGTGGCTATGCGCTAATAAGGTCAGTAGGACCACAGGTAATTATTTGCTTTTGCTTTTGGCTTAACAAATTCCTGGCTTACCACTTGCTTGTTACTTTAAGCTCGCGCTTTTATTTTGGGTATAAAGCATCATTCCCGTTTTTACTCGTAGTTACATGCCTTCAGAAGTGCTAAAGTTTAAATAGGCTGTTTATTTTTAAAAAATATATTAATTAAAGCTTTCGAAATCGTCTTTAGATTCCTTTAGATTATATGCACGTAATTTGTCTCGTCTAAATCTATACTTGTAGCTTTACCGAGAGTAAAAGGCCATAAATTTTCTTTGAGTCGGAAATCGGTAATAGGGAAATTAGATCATTAGATCATCTTGAAAAATTTAAAGCCACAAAATTTCGAACATTTTTGTTATATACTGGGCCCATAATATTGAAGAATATTTTAGAAATTGAGAAATCATTGGAAATTTCATATAATCACTGGTATTTTGATGTCAAAGATCGCATTTGTTTTTTTTTTATTTTTAAAATTATTTTTTTTTTAATTGCAGCAACATTTATTCAATATACAACGTTATTAAGACAGCAAATAAAAATGTGCATAGCCGACTTATTGTTGATTGACTTAGAGCCCTTTTTTACTTTCTCTATAAACTCGACTTTTGTTGGCATATTCTCTTTAAAATAACTCAATTTCGATTCGGACTCATTCATAATACCAAAAACATACATATCTGGAAAAATATTTAATTTTGTAGAGTGGTATACACATTTATTTTCCTTTTATTTAATATTTTTAGGCAGGAAAAATTAAATTCCTACAGATTTAATTTGGAAAGGAGCGAAAATGAAGATGGCGTTAAAAACAGACTGGCAGACATATCTAATTATACTTCAAGCAACTATTCAAAGCAGTCTAGTAAAGGAATTGAATACTTTATTTAATTTATATTTTCGTATAGCTTTATGTAACATAATTATAGAAATGTTGAACATGATGAAAAATATTGTGGAAGTCCAGGAGAAAACAAACGAAAAAAGTCCAGGAGAAAACAAACGAAAAAATTGAAACTTTGCTGTCCAAAATTGATTGCAGAGGACTCGAATTAATTCTTTTAAGGAATTAAAATTCATTAATCAAGGTTCGTGTTTGCGGAGAGGCTCAACACCCGAAATTGGCTTTGCCAATGTCGCCTCTCACCACGTTAGATGATTTTGAAGCTTTTGAGAAAAACCTTAAGGAAGAAAAGGCATTTAAGGATTTGGAAATACTGGTTTTTATGATTTGAACCACCTAAATATTTGAAGGTTGGCCAACTCGGCGTTTGTTTGTAGAATTGCTTGGCGTCAGCTAATATCAGACGATGTCGCTAAGCAATTGTCTTGGCGCGGCACGGAAACGAAGAAGTGTGTAAGAGACCTTCTAATAACTTTAGCCGTCCGAAGTGAGTATTACTTTCAAAGATTTTCGATTTTTATATTGTAATTGTATATTTATTTCACACAGAAGCATTTAAAGTAAAGTTCGCCCTAGAGGACAACGACGTTGACCGGGTGACGCAAAAATATTTTCATACGCGCAGGAAACGAGTGAATAGGCTGGAGAAATCTGAATCCAAAAAAATTAAATTATAGTTAATCATTTCGCAAATAATTATAATAACTGATAGTGTAAACGAATATTTTTATTTGGGGTACAAAATGGGATGAATCGGCTCGTCAAGCCTTTGTCATGCGAGCCTTTCGCGATTACGATTTCGATAAGATAAGGCATAAGTAATTTTTGCGAGACTAGTTTGATATTTCTTGCGACTATCATAAATGTTACTTTCGCTGCTTTAAGCTGAACGACATATGGATCATATTGCTACCATTTTCGGAAGAATGGCAATGGTAAAATTTTATCAATACTCGAGAAATCTCGAGCAATACCCAAACACGACTGGAGTAATACCCGATACTTGATCGGTTTGATCATACACTTATGATCGATCGTCCGGTTAATTATTCTACACATATATGCAGAGTATTTCAAAGTCGGGACACCCGACTTTAGCTTCACCACTTTTTATACTCTGTACATTTTATGTACAAGGATATAAGTGCGTTTTAGGTCAGCATGACTATCTTTCATAGTCATAGTGCATATTCAATCTATGTCAGTCTATCCGTCCATATGAACATCTGGTTCTCAGGGACTATAAGAGATAGAGACACCAAATACGATTTTGTTTTATTTTTTGGTGCCCCCCTCGGAGACCATAAGACTTGTTTGAATTAGTTATAAAAGCAATAATGCCTATACTATATAACTTGAAAAAGTATATGTTTAATTCTTAAAGTTTAGCATAAAACTTTTATTACAAATGAAGGTTTTTAGTCCGTAGGCGCGCGAAGCAATCTTGCCAAGCGTTAATCGGACATATCCTTATCGACGGCGTTAAGGGTATGCAGATTTACAAGTACATACCATATCTCGTTGACCAAAAAAAATAATAATAATAATTGCAATTAAAGTTTTTTACAAAATAGTGAAATTTTTAAAATTTTGTTTGTTTAAGCATATTGAAAATGGAACCGGAACACAAAAAAATAAAGCGCAGTACCTTTTCAGAACGCCGTAAGTACGTTTATGCTTTCTATTTTATGAATACATGTTCACACAATATCTTTCAGAGCGCAACGTGGAAGAACAAAATGAAATATTCCAGGCGAAACTTGACAAAGTACTGCAAAAGATTGAAGAGTTGCGCAGTAAGGCTAATTATGTCAAAAATGTATTATTATTTAAAATCATTTTTATTTTTTCCGGCTGAAAACAGTATATTTCGAGCGCAGATGAAAGTCATCCTGGACTCCTTAGCCCAACAGGCAGCTCTTGTTGCCAACCTTGAGGGACAAGGAAGCACTGCAGTTCCTATTATTGCCAAATTCCCCATTAAATCACAGGAGGACCTTGAAAAACTTGATGGGGAAATAAACTTGCAGAATAAAGAGCAATATGTAATTAATAAAAATACGCACGCAATATATATACTATAAATTTATTAATATTTCATAATTTCTAAACCAGATTCAAGCAATAAAGACTCTCCTCAAATCAGACGTAAAGAAGAGCCTGAGAAATGTTCTCGCCGACGATGTGGTTATGGCGTTCAATGTTGACGGCGTCCACGGAAAAAAGGCCTTGAAAAGCGTAGTAAACTTTTATGATGCTCTGCTTGGTAATCTACATAATTAAATAACACAATTTGACATAATTGCATATAAATTTGATTTTATTATAGTTTCTATTGATGGTGGAAGCTCAGCGGAAATGGACTTGCGCAAAGCAATGCAGCTGTCTAAGAAGAGAGTTTTTAAAGTTAAGAATAAGACAAACGAATAATTTTAAGAATTCGAAATTAAATATAACTTAAGTAATAAATTGAAATGGTTATAAATTAATATTGATTAGTTTTATATATTCATATGCATAGTACAGTGGGTAGTGCACTAGCTTCAAAAATAACTAGTACATTCTCTGGTACAAAGTATGCGAGGCGGTGGCAATCATCCCCTCGTATGTAAAAAGTTAATGGAGCAGGCCCTGAAGCTAGAGCTAGTGGTGGTACAATTGGGTGTGGTATTACACTAGTATAGACTAGTAGTGCCGTTCACAATTCGTATGTTTATGTGCAGTTATACATATTTGGAGTTCGAATACCAAAGTAAAATCGATCAACATATGTTGTACTTTTTTAAATGTTCTTATTTTTTTTTGTATTTTTATAATTTTTCTGCACATATGTATGTACTGAGTATTTCAAAGTCTTTAGCTTCTTACCTCGTTTTTACCAGTTTTTACTACGCGAAATATTAATAGGTTGTATCTTTCTTCTATTATTTGCAGTGTCAAATCAAACAATGGGTCTTCCGAAGATGACAGGGAAAAAATAAAAGAACGCAATCGAAGATATAGCAGAAACTATAGAAAACGATTGAAATTACAAAAACAGTTAGAAAGAGAAAAAAATGGAACCCTTAAAAAGAGAGTATACGACAAGGATTCAATAAAAGAACGCAATCGAGAATACAGTAAAAACTACAGAAAACGGTTGAAATTACAAAAACAATTAGATCAAGATAATAATTGTAGTTCACTTGTACCTTTAACATTTCAAACAATTTACACAGGTTGCCCGAGAGAAAAAGCATCTAAAATTAAAAAAAGCTAACCAAGAGTAAAGAAAATGTGATCGATTAAAACAGGAATATTAAAAACATTAAATAATCTATTAATTTTTTGACGCTGGCTGTGTCTCCGCTGCACCGGTTAAAAACCGGGCGTTATTCTGGGTACTGCTCATCCTTAGCGTGTTTTAATAAAGACTAGTTGATATACATACATACATACATATGTATGTATCTATGGCTGCCTGTCCACTGCATTGTGGAGCTGTTTGAAATGGTCCTAAAAGCGGACAAGCCAGAATTCAATGAATATGGCTTAAAATTATTGATAAAGTGGTGAAAATTTGGATCCCTAATACATTAATGCCAATAAATTATCGGTCAAACAGCAAACAAATTGTACATTACCTTTCTTTTTGGGGGTGTTTTATTTCTAATTTTTTTTCCATGCCATTAAAAAATAAAAACACCAAATTCTTTGATAACTCGAAATTTATAGATCCAAGTAGTGTAACATCAATAGATGGAAACTAATGTGCAACATAAATAGAATTTGTTAAACAAAGAGAGTTAATTACTTCATATTTAAACATCATAAAACAAATTCAAATGAAAAAGCTTATCAAATAATCAGCTGTTAACAGGCAATGTCTATTTGCTATTGTGATTGGATCTGCATCGGGTCCCCCGGGTAGATGCATTGCACGCAAATTCAAATACAAAACGGTTGTAAGCTATCAGCTGTTCTGTTCACAAGTAAATGTGGACATGCTATTGTGAATGTGTAATGTTTGGAATTAGGAAAAATGGAAACGTTTTGACAAATGAATATTCAGCTGTAATAGCAAGACTTAAATGCACGTAAAATATATTAATACATATAACAATAACAATCGAGGGAATAAAAGGTGGATCATGGATTCCCAGGCCATGTGCCGAATATGCCGCGAATTCATATGCTGTGCCACAACTCAACAACTTATTGTGGAAGGAACTGATTTTTTGAAACTCCGACATCGGATCGAGTTACTGACAGGTGTATGGGTAAGACTTCAGGTTATCTTGACCCAACACATATGTATGTATGTATATAAAATCATCTGATTTAGATGGAAAATCTATCCAATGTGCCACAGCGTATTTGTACTTCCTGTAGATTTGATTTGGACCAGGCCGTGGCCTTTCGGGAACGATGTATAAGCACTGAAGTGCGATTGTCCAAAAATATTGAGTTAATTTCGGGAGAAATTCAAATAAGTACAACCAGACATAGGAAACAGCAACTTTTATGTAAACCATTGATATTTAATTCATCTGCAGAAACATTTAGTTGCATGTGCAGAATTTGCGGCGAATTCATATTCAGTGGCACAGCGAAGGACATTTTTAAAGATGAATCTAATTTTACTATACCCCGCATCGAATTATTGACTGGCCTATGGGTAGGTATAATATTTGTATATAGTGCCCATTTATTATTGCACTTCCTGCGATTGCAGCTGCGCGATTTACCCAATATGCCACGGTATATTTGTATACCCTGCAGTTTCGATTTGGATCAAGCGGTTACCTTTCGGGAACGATGTTTGAGTGCGCAATTGCGATTCTTCAAATGGGAAAGGACATGCCCGAAAGATATCTGTGATCTCAAATGTATGGTGGATGAGAGGGAACCATGTGGTAATAGCAGCGAGTGTAATAACACTAACAAAAACACTTGCAATATAAAATCATCGCACTCGACGGAGCTTACAGAAGAGCATTCATACAAGTAGCAACGACAACTTTATTTGAATATTAATTATATTTTATTAATGTTTACCATTTTAAGGTGTGAACTGTGTAACAATATATTTTCGCACATCGATCAATTAGAGAGGCACGTATGTTCGCCGAAACATCAAGCTAAACTGTGGCCCAACCTGACAAATGACCAGACACTGGATCATAAGGTGTATGAAGAAAAAAAACCATTCAAGTATGTTTTTATGACAGCATATTTAATTCCTTTAAGCATTTATTTTTTTTAATATAAAGGTGCGAATTGTGTGACAGAATATTTCCAACAATCGGAGGCTTAAGAAGACATGAAAGTTCGGTGCCACATCGAAATAAACTCAGCAAAACTTTAGATGCTTCGCAGGTGGAACGTTCCTTCCAGTGCTTTTTTTGTGATAAGAAATTTGTAACATCATCAAACCGCACAGTGCACCACAGAGTCCATACAGGAGATCGTCCATACAAGTTTGTTTTCAATTTTGCAAACGTTCTTTAGTGATGTATTTATTAATTTTTATTTTAATTTTTAGGTGCGAAGTATGCAATTCCTCATTTAAGCGAAATCATCATTTGAGGAGACACGAACGCAGACTGGAGCATAAAAAGATGATAATGATGGCGAATGGCACTACAAGTGATATTAATGGAACTTTATAACAAGTAATGATAAGGAAAGCATAGATGTTGAAACAGGTGAAGAAGCTCGGCGGTCCCGACATTAAAATACTCTGTACATACATACATATGTATACATTTGAAACTTATTGAGTGAAAAAAGCGGGTTATTTTCGTAAAAAGCGTGATATAGTTAAGAAAAATTTGTATAATCACAAGTTTTTAAACATTTATCGTTTTATTTGAGTTTAAATTACGTTTACGTGACAATATATGCAAAAAAATAACCATAGAAACTGTATTTTAATAAAAATATGATATTGTAAATCAGATTTACCGTATCGTTAAGTAGTTTTTGACGTTCCATATGTCGTTCGACCCGGAATTAAAGGGAAAGTATGATGGAAATAAATCTTCATTGACGTTAAAGTCGTGCATATAGTAATGTTTGTTCTGTAAAAGAAGGTAAAAACCGATACTATTAGAATTAAAAATAGTGATATGAACACCTTAACACTTACTTTTTTATATGGACAGTCGTTTAAAAGGTTGCCGGATTTTCTCACTGCATCAGTAATAATGCGCGTTATTAAATAATCGTCTAGTTTATTTTGACCTGTACGAGGACATATGTCGAAACTGGCGTTTATGTAGTTCACCGTCGCTTTCCCGATCATTCCGATTAGAGAGAAGGGCACTGAGGCGTTATTTAGTTTAGTTTCCATGTCGATCACCGTCTGGTTAAGAATGTTGTATTTCAAAACGCACGTCAGATTGGTTAGAAATGTAGGCATATAGTTTTCACAGTCGACTTTGGTGAAAATTACAGCGAACTGCGGAAAAATTGATATTGAATATATTTAGCATTTAATTAATACTATACATATAGTACATACATATACAAGTATGTTCCTTGACTATCCCTCACCTTACACTCAGTGATCCAATGTGCAGGCAATAGGAGGAGTAGAACCATCATCTTGTATAGACCCACCATTGTGAAGTCTCTGAGCTCCAGTAATGTATTCATCTAAATAAATATACATTTCGTGTGGTAATAATAAATGGGCGGGTCTAATGATGTTTTAATGGATCTATTTCCAAAATAAAATTGCATTTTAAAACGAATAACCGGTCTGTCTATTTCACATCTGATCGTATCTTTAGTAGATCGTTCCAATTATAATAATAGTGCGATCTCTGACAAGCGGGTATTTGATATTATATAGGAGATATAGCCATATTGATTTTATGTATGTTAAATTATATATGCCTATATTTCAGATGGTGATCGATGTGGATAGTACATGAAATGTACAAGAGATATTTAAGAATTGAGCTTGCTCGAACTGAGCATACATTTATTGTTTTTAAATAAATATAACGAACAATTCTTGGCATATTTATTGTATTACATATTTAAGATCGAGCAATTTGAGGGAACATAGTATGTTTTTTAATTACATAGAACATTTAGAAACAAAGAAATATTTGAAAATGGGGAAGATGGGGGGCTCTGGTTAGATCTCAGTATCGCCCGCCACTACCCTGTTAATGAAACTTGACCATTGCTTCTCCAACAGATCATATGCTCGGCTTTTTTCAGCCTCCTGTAACAACGAGTAACGCACTGAGTTCCACACCAGGGTCTTGAGTACACGCAAGCCGGCATTATTTGGGGCTAGACTCATGATCGTATAGTAGAAGTCATAGCTGATTCCCTTCGCATTCCAAAAGCCCGGATCGTCGCTACCAACGACCAGAGGTATATTCATTGCCAGGTACTGAGCACCGGGATGATTGCGCATGTCCCAGACTAAGCTGAGCACTTGATTCGATATGGGGCTCAGTTCCACGGCAATATCCCGGGCCTTGACCGCATTCAACAGGACCGGGTGCTTGGCCAACGCATAGCCGTGGCCAATACGTGTAGTGTTCAATAGTAGGGCGTCCAGAATGTTCAAGTCCGTGGACGTGCCAAACTGATCTGTTAAGCAGATGAGAAAGCATTATTAGCACATCTTTCAAGAAATATCGCCTCGACAACTCTCACAACTCACTTGTCTCGCCAGCATGCAGAAAGAGACGCGCCGTATGGGGCAGTTCCTGCAGGGCGGGCAGAAAACTGTATAAGGACTTTCCCAAGTCTTCTTGGCCCACCAAATCAAAGCCAACAACAAAATTCGGAAAAGCCTCGCTGCAGAGAAAAGATTTTTATTTATAGAGTTATGATTTCCCATTCATTTTAACTCTCCTTACTGCAGCTCACGATAAAATTGAATGTTCCTTTGCATGCTCTCCAAGCTGGCGCCGCGATAGGTGGTGCTGATGATTTTCATGCCCAGGAAATCGGGATGCAGGCGCTTAAATCTCTCCTCAATGGCGATCAGTTCTCGAATGGCTTGATCCATTGGATAAGTGTGACCATATTCATCGTAAAGTTCCTAGTGGAGCGTTGGAATCGCAAAAGTTTACAGACTTATGTTTCTACAGATCTCACCTTCTTCAAGCCCATGCGTAGTTCCAGGTACATAATATTATCGTTGTACATTTCCTCGAGCAGCTGCCAGTGAAAGGCCCGAAAAGCTGGCCGGTAGTTTAGGACGTCACCAATTGTATCAAACATGTCTTGAAACTTGTTCCATACCTGAAGATACTCTACTAAAAGAGATTAAAAATTACTTGATCAATAGTTGCCAGAGAGCACAACACTTTGTTGGTAATTATTATATAGCGAATTGAAATTTCTGGTTTGCCATAACATTTTCAGCAAAGCAATGCTTCGATTCGCACAGTGCGGGTGTAGATATTACCCGACCTTAATGTATGAGGTATGTGTCGCCAAAAGCGTATGAAGCCGGTAGAAAATACTCAAATAGAACTGAACTAATAGTATTGAACTATATTAAAGATCTTTTTAACTCTATGCCAAATCGGGTCAGTTAAACTCACTTTTAGAAGTATTGAATTATTATTAAATTAGGGAGGAGCATTGAACTATTGTATGTATGTATAATTATTGAAATACTGCTTACCATAGTTTTTCTTTTCTCTAAGCTTGTTTAATACGACTTAAGGAACTTACATTCGGGCATTGGTGTGTACAGATTGATGAGACGCTCGAAATACTGGTCATACAGCATCGGATCAGAGTAGCTGCGGCGCTCGTTTGCGACTGCCACATATTGAGTGAAGCAGCCATGCTTCTTGGGCATGCGTCGAAAGGAAAGTATACTGACACCTGCTGCATTTGCGCAGCGCAGCATCCCCGGCATATATGATAAATGTTGAACCACCCACTTGGAGCTTACTGCCGCAGAATTGTGCAGATGTAGTTGGGCGCCTTTCGGCATTTGCTGCAAAAACTTAAACACGCTGCTGCGATCAATGAGCTCCTTGGCCTTGAAAAAATGCAGAGAGGCTGTATTCTGCTCCGCATTTTGAAATCCCTGTGATAACTCTTCGCGTTTGTATTTCATGAAGATATCGTTCGCTTTGGCCTCCTGTGTATTGAGAAATAGGTGGCCTCCGGTCATGAGCTCCTCCTCTGCATTGAGCAAGGCAGATCGGTTCTGCTCATATCCTGCAGGAGAAACCTGATTTTGAGTGAAAGCTTGTTGGGCCCAGCTATTGCAGTCATCATCTTACTAATCCAGCATGTGCAGCAGTGATCGCTGCTAATCCCCAAGAAAGGAGGAACAGAGACTGCAACAGCCTTGGCATCATCTTGAACATGTTTGGGTTTAACTTTTTGCACATACTCGTATTTTTTACACTCTGCTGACAAAGAACGTTCCAATTTATAAATATACTTTTGAATTTATTAGCAGAGCAGAAAACAAAGCTTTAATCTGTTATTATTATTGACTAAATGTATTAATGTATATTAATTAGTGATAAGGTCAAACAAGTTCACATCTTCTAATTTGCAATGTACATACATTGGCTCACAAGAATATTATAAGAATTAAAAAAAAAACAGTTTGCTATACATTATTATTTATTCTTGGACTTCATATGATTATATTAGGTAATTAACAAAGCCGGCCGTCGTCTCCGATTAGCGTTTATTTTCTATCGCAAGTAGAACGATTTTATAAGCTAAGATTTGTGCTTATCAGCTTCGAAAATTATTCATGATATGAATTTTTGCTAATCTGGTGATGTGGCACATTTCATATCACGAAATAATTTTTGTCAGATTTACTCAAAATCACTACATTTTTCAAATAATAAGTCACAAAATTCTTTTGAATTCCATTTGATTTATAAAATCTACTGAGGTTTTCAAAAAGAAAAGCTTTTGTGTTATTTGATGTGCCTAACAGTTTGAAATCTAATAGTGTTAGTCAACACTGCACAATCCCCTTTTTGTTGTAGACTTGCCAACTGATTGGACTCTTAAGCATGCCAACTTTTGAATAATTGCTTGGCAGCTTTCGTCTTTATTATTGTTGTGCTTCTGCGATAAACAAATTTATTTAGTTTCTAAACGAATTCCTAAAAATGAGAGCCATAATACAACGTGTCAGAGCTGCTAAAGTTACAGGTGAGGTCAATGATTCAGTTCAGTTGCGCATACGTACATAAACTTTATGAATTTCAACTTCCTAGTGCTGGACGAGCTAGTCAGTTCTATTGGACCCGGTCTATGTGTTCTGGTGGGCATAAAAGCGGGTGACACCGCCACAGATGTTGAATATCTGTAGGTAAATGCTGCAACAGTTGGTGCTCAACAAATAAGTTAATTTCTGATCGTATTTTTGCAGTGTTCGAAAAATTCTCGCTCTGCGATTGTTTGAGGATGAGGGCAGACGTTGGCAGAAGTCGACCAAGGACTTGCAATTGGAAATTCTGTGCGTTTCGCAATTCACACTATATCATCGCTTAAAAGGCAACAAGCCGGACTTTTCGGCAGCGATGAAAGGCGACGAGGCGCAGCAACTCTACAATCATTTCCTGCACCGTCTCCGTCAATCCTACGACGGCAGCAAAATTAAAGGTACTGAGCTATTATGTGCTTAGAAATTGATTAGCATTTAATATTTTTTTATATTTATGCCAGATGGTAAATTTGGCGCTCATATGCAGGTGCACATAGAGAACGATGGGCCAGTTACCATCGATTTGGAGTCACCAGAGATGCGACAAGAGGAAGAATGTGTGGACAAGTAGCTTAGAAAACCTAGCTATAGTAATAGTTGACCCAAATCTGTAGTCAGGTTTTATAATTTTATACGTCAAAGTGGAGTCCCAACCAAATATAATACGATAAATTTGTATATACTCGTATTTATTTATTGCTCGATAAATATTTTATTTATTGTTTATTTTCGCTTTCACATTAAAATATTTATTGTATTTTTTGCTATCTTTAAATAACTAAACTGCTGTTAATCTATTCAGATTTAAGATATATTTTACTAAATGCATTTCATATTTTTGAAGTTAATTTTATTAAATTTTTAAATGATTTTTTCAGACTTCAAAAATAAATTAACAAAGTAATTATGTGAACGTTTTTGAAATATTTTGTATCTCGAACTGTAAGTTTACCTTTAAACATATATATTCGAACGTAGAACAATTCTATGCTTTACGAGTAAAAAGCGAGGGGAGACTTTTTTTTGGATAATCAAAGGCATGACAAACTAATCGAGAAAGGGTACAAGGGTATATTAGTTTTGTGCGAGTGCACATGGAACACACAGAAAGAGGCTTGGTAGACCCCACAAAGTATATATATTCTTGATCAGCATGACAAGCCGAGTCGATATAGCCATGTCCGTCTGTCCGTCTGTCTGTCTGTATGAACGCAAGGATCTCCGAAAGTACAAGAGCTAGAATAACCAAACTTGGTATACAGATTCTCCTGAGCCCGAGAAAGGACGAGTTTGTTCATTTTTTCTGACCCACTCCCCCCCTATTACCGATTTTCTATAACTCCCGGAATTTTGAATAATAATAATAATAATTTTGAACTTAAATTTGGTAGTCGCATTAGGTTAGTGATTATATATCCGAATACCAAGTTTCATTATGATAGAATGATCGGAAAGAAAGTTATAGCCATAAAACCAGGCCCAATGCACACATACATACATATGTACAAGTACACAAACACGCATAAGGCACGATTCTGATGTAAATGTAAATGTATGTATGCATGCATGGAATATTTTATATTTAATTTAGTTAATTAATTAAATTAATTTAGTTAATTAATTAAATTAATTAATTAATTTAATTACTTTTTTGCGGGGTGGTACAGGGTATTTAAGAGTTGAGCCTGCTCGACTTTAGCATTCCTTTCTTGTTTTGTCATAACATCATCAACATATAAGCCCATATCTGGGCTAGTTAATTAAAGAAGCCGTCGGAAGCTTAAATTGCATTTTGAGTGAACCCTGAATGCAAAGGGAGCTAATATCCGGATGGGTGTAAGGTACGATCTTGAATCTGGGCTTTCCAGTATTGTGGCACTGGATTCGAGCGGCTGGTGTGTCTGTTTGGTTGCTTCTCAGAATTTCTTGTGGTATATTATTTATATTTATTTTAATTGCCCACCAATTAAAAAAAAAAAAAACAATTTCCTCATTTATGTACGAAAAGTTTTTATTAAACAAATGTTCGCTTTTAATTGCTTTTTTACATTTATGTGGTACGATATACGTATATGTATGTACTTTCCATTTAATTGTTTATGTATGCTTATGCATGTGTTGGTGTGTCGTATAAATATAAATGTAGTATGTATATGTAATTGTATAAAATAGGAGTAAATTATAGCATTGAAACTGTTCGTTTTTAGACAGTTGTTGTTTATTAACGTTTTGCTGGGAAAGTGCATTGCTTGCGGGGAATTAATTTCTTGTTCGTTCGTTCTCCGCAAAATATCCTCGCGGAATAATTCAATGCATCAAGGATTGCATGTATAGTATAGCTATTTAATAATTGGTATTAGTGTATAAGAAATTACACAAAATGAACAAATTAAATACACAGTACATTTCCTTTTATTTTAAACACAAATTGATGTATTCATGCAGGAAGGGTGTGTGGGTGTTTGGTGTGAGGATGATGATATAGATGTGGTAATGTGGTTGGTTGTGTGGTGGATACAGCGATGAGAATACTTAAATACAATAATTATTCGTCTCTTAGATGTGTGAGTTATCTATGTATCTAGGCATATATGTATGTATATGTATGTTCGCACTGTTTGTTATACGCTTTATATGCATTTTGTTAATGCAATGAGCTTAAAAGTTAGTAAAAGATGCAAACATTTGGCGTCGCATCTTGAGTTGATTTCTCATTCTTGCCGATAATTTTGAGCAGTATTCCTAGATTAAATGTGTTTGTGTATGGTGTTCTCCTTTAGTCCAATAAAATGCTTCTTCCCCCATTCTTGCTGCTCTTTTGGCTGTGCGACTCCTTCCCCTCCGATTCCTCTCCATCTTTGTTTCAACTGGCGAATTTTGAAGGCGATCTTATATCGTGTTTTACGTTTTTGCTTGTTTGGGAGGATCTGTTGCTGCTGTTGTGCTGCTGGTGGTGGTGTTGCTCTCGTTGCTGCATTTGCACATTTGCAGGAAACTACGAACGTTAAATTGAAGAACAGGTAGGGTGGGGGAAAACTCTAAAGTGGTATGGTAGAAGATATTGTGTTTTCTTTTTTCTTATTTCGTTTTGTGTGTTGTTGCTCATCTCATTCCTTGCAAGCTGTTGGTTGGTTTGTGCGGGGCGCCCATCTTACCAGAGGCCCGACGAGTAGCCGCCTGGTGGCACGCGATTCTTGTTGATCACCTGGTTGGCACCGTTCATGGGTGCGGGCTGCTGGTAATCGTTTGCACCGGGCTTGTAGCCTTCGCCAGTGACGGGATTTCCCTCTGTTGGGGGTGAAGAAACAAAATGGAGAATGAAATTAGATGCAAGTAGATTCCACTGATTCCTGAGAACTAATCGGATATCATAAATATAGGGGGTAATAAAGCCATTGGCGTGCTTCGTACAGCTCTGTTTGAATTTATCAAGGGTGAAGAAAAAGTGTATGGGTGGGTGTAAGGGGGGTTTGGTTTGGTCTCTTTTGTGAGGGATTCGTTGCGGTGCCTTTTCAAAACTAATGCGAACCTCGTGTTTTGAGCTTCTTGGGCTTTAGACCACCGACACCGTCGCCATTCAGTCCCAGTCCGGTTATGGGATTGCGCGAGCAATTAGCATCTTTATCTTTGTTAATCTTAATGCATGGAACGTGTTCCTGCTTCTCATAATCCGGGCACGGATTAAGCGGTTCCTTTAGATCTGGAGCAGAATTCATCTTGTCCAGAGAGTAAGGCAGTTCAGGGCTGGTGCCCGAGTCGCGGCGCGTTTGCAGTCTCACGTCCCGTTTACCAGTCTCAGTAAAGATATTATTATCTTCGGGAACGTCGCCGATAGTGTCGTCGATGCACGGCAAATCAATGTCGAGTACGTCCGGTGGGGGAATAGGCTCGGCACTTGGTATGGGCGTCAAAGGGCAAATGGGATCACGTTCAAGTCGCGATGATTCCTGTACGATCGGAGCTGTTGCTACACGTTTGATTGGCGTCAGGGTTTGTGGGCGGAGCGGGACAGGTGGTTTGGGTTATCTCAGGTTAGATTGAAAGACTTAGTTGGTTTGCATACTTACTGCTCATATTGCGGAAGACTGGTGCCAGAAACGAGTTTTGTTTAAGAGACAATTTACGAAGAGAATATTTATGGATTTTCGTTAGTTGGTTGGTTGTTGGTTTGATCGATTAGTCGATCGGAAAGTAGGAAATGAAAGCAATAGAACCGAAATTAAATAATCGTATAGAAAATAAGGAATTAAGTTTTTGAAGACGACTTTTGGATAAATTGTTTCAGAATTCTTAGATGTGTTCGGCCCGACTTTCGAGCTACAACTGAAACTTTTCAATAAGGATAGCATTGACAAGCGCTTGGAGTTAAGAGAATAAAACCAATGGCTACTGTTGTGAGTCTATTTCTAGCTTAAAGTATGTACAAATTTGGTTTATTGCGGGGAGTTTGGTTCAAAAGCATGCCAGGTATGCCAGAATAAACAACCGAAACGAATGCTAAATAGTGTTACCCACCTGATCTTGAACCACCGTTCATTTTGAGATTCTCAGTTGAAGACGATACGGACGAGGACGCCGATGATACCGAACCACTCTTGCCATTGTAGTGTCCATTGCCATTGGTCAGCAACTGTTGTGCGGCCTCAGTGCTCTGACCAAACGGAATGTTGCTCTTCATGTGGTTCTTGGCTGGCGTAATGGGACGTGTCGGCTCACCAAATAGACGTGAATACGAATCAACGTTCTTCTGAGCCCGACGCGGTGCATCACCTGCTCGATCACAAAGGGAAAAAGAAAATGTTTGGGTTTTGCAAAGGGCACCAGAACAAAAACCACAGACAAATTACAGATTAGTAAATGTTCGATGTGATATAATATAGTACAGAAAATAGAGTTGTATTGGTTATAGCATCATTGTATTAAATAAAACGATTGTGTATTGGTAAGGGTGGGTCCATAAACATATTAGTGAGTGGTTTCGCAGTTGGGTAGATTTCTGATTTGTCGATTCACAGCAACCTCAGTAGTGAATATTATTAGCTGATCGTGATAATAATATTGACATAATTATTACTACACTGATAATGGTCAGCAAGATGTAAACAGAAAATGGTCACTGATATTGCATAACATTTAAGTCATTATTTAAGGGATTCTGATTCTATTTCACCAAATAGCAATACTTAGCAGTAATGTGAAGTTGAAGAGGAACAGCTCTGTTAAGGAAATGTCATTATGCTTCAATAGAGCACTTCTCTTTAATGCATTTGGTGTAAGGTAGCTAACAGCTGCATTAACAGCTCATTACGAGGCAAGGCTTTACATTTTTGGGCGGCATCAGTGATTGCCTTTCGTTGTAGCTATTGGCGTTTTGTGAACGGGGAACGGACAAGCTGTTGCCCATTTGTAATGGCTTTAAACGAATAGCCATGAAATGGACTTTTGTGTAACGATATTGCCCCAAATGAATCTTGCACTGCGCTTTCCTCGTTGCTTTTATTTCGGGGAAATTCAATAGGTTTGCAGCGCATACCAAAAATGCAAGCTGCGAGAAATTGTTCAGCAATTGGTGCTCGCTCTCACCTCACTGAACGATCGAGATCTCATTCTCGCACGTTTTGATATGTTTATCGTTATGTGCGGTATAAATCAGAGAATTGCATGCGAATTATAGAATCCACATCGATACACGACACATAAATTGGCGGCTGCTTGTGTTTTGGCTCTTTCACTTTGGCGTTAAATTAACGCAGTATTAATAGTGCCTATAAATAATTTTCTCATTGCGACATGTCTGAACTTGTTTCTGCAGTTTGCGGCGGCCTTTTGATTTGCTTAGAGAAATGCTAGCTTATGTTAACAGTGCACAGTTAACATTAACAGAGTGCCGAATACTTTTAACATTGTGCCAAGCTTTACTGTTAGAAACGTGTTGCGTGTTCGAGTAGGGTGTGTTGTTGTTGTTGTTGGAGCAGTTGTTGTTTATATACAAAGGATGTGCAACATTTGCAAGGTTTAATTAGCAAATTAAAAGAAAGGAAAAACACAGAACCCAAAAATGCTAAGTAAAATTAAAAAGTTTGCATTTCAGTTTCTTTGCGCTCTTTTTTTTCGTATATACCAATGAAATAGAATCTGTGAGCTCCTTGTCGTACTGCAATGAAACATTTCAAAAGAAAAGAAAGAGAGAGAAAGAGAGAAAAAAGAAGAAAAAGAAAACAATACACATACAATTACAAATGCGACTATTAAATGCTATGACTAGAGCAATAAACAAACTCGTATTAACTTTTTACACAGACGGGAGGTGAAATGTATGGTTGAAATTTTAGAGTAAATAAGGGGTTCTCTTCAGGATACTGTTACGCAAGATATTGAGACTGTAGCTGTAGAAGAGTGACTTACAAAATGTTTTGTCATACAAAATCCTTCCATACCTACTCCTAAGTACTCGTACGTCAATTTCTCTATCAATCATCAATTTTTCTATTAAGCTTATTAAACTAATTCCTAAAGCATTTTCTGGTATTGAAAACTTTAAAGACTTTAAAAACATATATATAGGTACTGAATGGGGTTTTATTGACTTCAAAGATGGTTCGATAAACGACCAACTATCAAGGATCCAAGTAGTTTCTTTAGATTTGTAATACACATGTTCAAAAGCTAATTTTATCATCCTGGTATCTAAGAACAACTCACAAGTTTTGTCATATTATAAATTTACATTTATTCTTCAACATTGAATAATGTTCATTCTACTTTGAAAATCAACAGCAAACTTTTCTCTTTGGGGTGTTTGGACATGTCTTGGGGGTATGTTTTGATTGATTTAAGGTATCTAAGATGTTTTTTTTTTATATGTTTAGCTGCTCTCTTTTTCATAACCTGTAAAGCGTTTTGGTCTAAAATAAAAATGAAAACTTTTAAAATATGTTGTTGAAAAAGCAGCTGAAGAAGCTTAGATTTTAGCTGTCTTATGGATAGTACGAGACAACCTTTTCATACATAAATAAATGTACAATTTGAACAGAGATATACATAAATACATATAGTTTATTACGGCATAGTATACGAGTATATAGAGTTAACATCAAAATTGCTGGCCAACTTACCGTTGTTCTTGACGGCGCTATCCTTCTCAGCCGAGAATATGTTTGAGGCCATGCGATTCTTCACATTGCGCGGTGTTTGGGGCATATCGGAGCCAAAGATGTCGCTCGAGCCGCCACCTGGGGGTCTCAGTACCCTGCAAAAAACGGCAAAAGAAAGAAAATTCTTTAGTGAGAAAAGTGGCACAACAGCAACAACAATAAAAAGACTTAAATTTGCACATAATTAATGTTCACGCTCTACTCCACGCAGAACGTACAATGGATGGATGGATGATACTCGTCTCGGTTTTGGGCCGTCTCCTATACATACTGTATACATATATAATTTTTTTTGTTGGGCACAATGTTGCGCGGCAAATTAGCTTTGAAAAATTGCTTCATCTTTTGCACTGGGCTGAGCGAATTCCAGAGAAATGCATTTCAAGTGTGTCTAATAAGCATCAAGAGCAAGTTTTTTTATTCATCATTTTTTTTTCGTTGCTGTTGTTGTTTTGCTGAGGCGCGCCAAAAAGTCACGCCAAAATGCAATGCAATGCTGCAATTAAGCAAAGTTTCCGGTGGTGAGAGAGGAAGGGGGAGCAGGGGATTAAGTTAGCAATACAAAACGCAGTCAAGTAGCATGAAGAAAGCAATGCAGGTGAGTAAAAAAAGCATCGCTTAATGTTATGGTTTTGTGGCATTCAAAGTGCTTAGCAGCTGCGCAGTCAGCGTTGCGTAAAGAAACCTCCAACAGTTGCAGACAGCACATAAAGCTCCACCACCTGGCGGCTTATCTAAGTGGTCTATTGTTATATGCAGTATGCTGTATGAAACAACAACAGCAAATATTATGATTTGCAATAAGAATCACAGCATAGGTTGTTACTTTTACTGCACATTAGCTGCCCCGAGGCTCTGCCACAGATGTTGCACAGCTGCTGCTACAAAATAGCTGCCTGTCCTCCCTTTATCCCTCCCCCCCCCCCCCCCCCCCCCATCTGTGAGTCTTTCTGTCTGTCTGTGCGCTGCACCCGCTGTGTTTGCCCAATGGCTAGAAAAGCATGCAAAACCATTCACATGTCAACAGACTTGACCACGCAGGCGGGCAGGCTGGGAGGGGGGAGGGAGGTAGGCAGGCGCAGGCAGACAGGCCACTTTACATGAATGTAAAGCTACCTCGGGCTATGTTAAAGTCAACTACTGCAACTGTTAGTGACAACAGTTTTAATTTGACTCTCTTCTCTCACCCATGCTGGTGCTGGATGCTGGCGCTGGATGCTGGCGCTTAAGTAGCTGCATAAGCATTGACAGTTGATTGACAAGCGCACTTGCAGGAGATTAAATTATGGCCTGCAGCAGCAGAGCTGACTTAACAGAAAGAGAAAAGCATAACAACAAATATAACAGAGGCTGCAGGCTTTATGGCGCTTTCAATACAGTATTTGAGTTCGTGGTTTATCTTAGTTTATCCTAATAAAGTTATGGGGGAAAAATCATATACATACTCGTATATACAAGTATGTATGTACATATGCCATCTAAATTCATAATTTTTATAATTGTTGGTACTTTTTTAAAAATGTATTTCAAAATTCGTTCTATTTGGGGCTTTGATGCACAAAACATGTTTAGATATAAGAGAGAATAATAATACAATTACATATAGTAGGTATATAATTTTGTTCGAAAGTAGAGACTCTAGATAAGGAACTAACATTACTGTTGCGTTGAAGTTTCTGAGAATTATGATCAAGGAAATTTGTATTGATACGTAATTTTACATAATTAGCATATACACACTACTGTGCATGAGCGTGTATTCAATTTCAAGGCAGCTCAGCCACAGATCTTGACCATGTGGCTGATGGCATTGAGAAAAGTTTTATAGACATACTACTCGTACGCACCTGCACGCACTTTTAAGAGTCACTCAAGCAAATCTTATGCAGCTGCTTTTTTCTCTTTTTACTTTTCTTCCCATCTAAGCTTAGCTTTATTTGCTAATCATAGGCAACGGTAACAGAAATAACAACAACAGTAACATTTACCATTGAACAACAATGCAGAAAGCGAGAGTACTGGTAAAGGCATTTTGCCAACTCTCTGTTAATCATTACATGACGCTGTGCAGTGGCGCGCCAACAACATTTCATGTAATTAACATAATCGCATGTGTTGCTGTTGTTTTTTTTTTTCTTTCTTTTACTAACAGCCCGCAAAACACAAGCCATACGCGTCCATAGCATAACTAATCGCTGTTGATTACATTACAAAAAATCGCACAAAACGTTGCACATAAGGTAGGTATGTACATATGAATAGGCATGCAAAGTTAATTTAATTAGTCGGTTGTTAAAGTGAAAATATTTCTTTTAAAATAATTTGTAATAATCAAGCTAAAGAAATAAAATAGCATGTAATGCGGCTTTGAATATACTAGAATGCTGACAAAGGCAGAGTGAGAAGTCGTTTTCAATATCTTTTATTGACCATCTATCGGAATATTTCAATTGAACTTTCTTTTGCTTTTTATTTTTAAAGAAATCGTCTTATAAGTAATTGCTAATTTGTTTGCTAAATCGTCTTTAATCGTTAAGTCTACCTGTGAAGCTGTTAAGCATCTATAGCTTATATAAGAATTTTAGATTCCATAAGGAAAGAAGATTTTTATGTGAAGCTATCGTAATTTTAAATATCTGGAATATGTTTCTGGAATTTCTTCAATAAAATGAGGCCAAATTAATGACAAAATGAAACCACAGAGCGCGTTCTAAAGGTCTGCCAAGTCTCTAAACTGGAAATCAACTATCTAAGAGTTTATTCTAAATTTCATAAGTGAAAGAAATGATTTATATGCATTTATGCATGTATGAAATACCATATATTTGCAGTGGAAACTTTGACATATTGTTCGCTTTTATAGGTTCAGTGGAAGTCTTGTAATTCAAACTATAAACAATAACAATAGATCAATTCTTTATTAGTTTATACCTTGTTATTTATTTTAATAATTTTTAGGTAAGGTTTGCTTTTGAAAAATGTGAAGGGGGAATTTGAAGATATAGATAGTTATTTTAACTTTGATTCTAACAATTGAATTAGTTGTTTATTTTCTAGATTGAAATCAACTCTACAATTCATTTTTAAAGCAACAAAAACAGTGATGCGTTGTGTTTCCTCATCTAATTCATTCACTCTAGAAATGTGCAGTGCACTGAAGTTGCACTCCACTTGCCGTTCGTGGTCTAATTAAATTTTAACAAGTTAATAAAAATTTATGAAGCGCAACGCTGCCGCAACAGCAGCACACCCCAAGGAAGTTTACTTTCACCTGTCGTTGTCATCGTAGACATCATCAGAGTCATCGCTGTTGTCGTCGTTAGTTAAACACAAATATGTCACGCACAAAAGAATTTTACAGCGCACATAAAATGCACACGACGTGAGCCAAATGCACTCCAAAAGGCCGTGTATTACTTTCTAATAAGTCGAAAAAAAGTAAGAAAGAAATGAATTATGTGGAACGCCACTGCCGCTGACTGTGTGGCGGTGGCAGGCACGCCTGTTCGGCTTCCTGTGCCCAGCCCCCAAAAACGGAGGCAGCAGAAAACTGCAAGCGAGTGCAGGAGCGGAAGTGCTGTGCGCTTTGCTCCCGGCACGTGAGCGCCTAATTAATTAAACAGCATGACACATGGGCCGAAAAGAAAAGCGGCCTGTGTCAGTGTATGTCTTTGAGGTTTTCCCAACACGACTCACAGCGGCAAACACAAAGACCACGAGATGCAGCGCTGGCAGGCGTCTTGTGACAAGTGTGTGAACTTTGTGGAGAGACTGTTGCCTCGAGAAGACATTTACTAACCAGCCAGCTAACCAAGCTTGTCATGGAGAAATCATAACTGTCGCATGGGGACGGGGAGAACACTTATTAAAATGTCTTTAGGCGTAAGCACACTTAAAGCTTTCAGCTGTGCGTGAAATGTGTGCCATTTGTCAACAGTTTTCCATTTCTCGAAATTTTTTAGTTTTTTATTTTTGGTGTACTAACGGTTTACCTCGACATTTTCACGCGAGTACAAAAATGAAACAAGTGGAAAGAATTTCCTAAGCTGCAAATACGATTTTGCAGTTTTGTCAGCGTATGGCTAAAATGTATACTCGTAAAATGAAAAGCGAAAGCAGCGACCTAGTCAGTGGTTTATGGCTTAAAGGCTTGCCCGCAATTGGCATGTGGAAAATCTTGACCATCTTAATGGCCAGTTAACAAGTTGAAGATTAATTACAATACAACACAACACAACATGTTTCCGATTGTGTTTGTGTGCACATGACGATGTTAAATTTCCTGCCTGCCAGTCTGGTAAGGCGGTTATAATTAATGGCGGTCAAGGGGCACATGAATTGCAAGTTATAGACAGTTGCAAAAAAGGAAAATCTGTACATGACTGCTGCACACTGGTAGTTTTGATTAGAGTTTTGAAAAGCCAATTTCCACTGTACGCCTTCTGAAAGTAATATTTTGAACAAATGTGCTTAAAAAAAGAGGTCAACACCAATGCTATAAAAATAAGAATTAAATAGGTTACCCATATATTCGAAGAAAAAAAAAACGACGTTTGGAAGAGGAAGAGTTTTGTTCCAGAAGAGTTGCCATGAACACAATTGAATAGCATTTACCAACTTAGAGTTCTACCTTAGGTTTGACTCGTTTGTGGATATTGGACACTATATTAAAGAATAACTTTGGGTCTCGCCCCACGCAACAAGGTGTATCTCTGTTTCAATATAGAAGCTAAGCTCTAGAACAAGAACTTGAAGAGTGCCTTCTACAATTATTAAAATCCCGTACTTAGCTTGTAGTCGCCAATATTAGTTAACAAATAAATTAAATTAATAAATTTAAGTTATAGTTTACAAATACTGGTACAAGAGATACCTTCTCACGTCCCAGTTCTTTCCTTCTCCTTGTAAATGAATGACTCTTGCCGCAGTCTCTTGTAGAGAGTGCTCTATTGAAATTCAATACCTCCAGAGCAATGAAGTTCGGAATTCAGTTAACCAAAATCCATAAACAAAAGATAATGATTTTAATCACTATTGGGAGGTTGAAAATGCTGGGTTGTCATCCCGAATTGATGGTTATAGGTTAAATGGCCCA